CAAGTGCATTTAATTTACATATGCGGTATTCTTGGTGTTTACATAGTCTGAGGTGTTTGATGATACAATTTACACATTTATCTGTCCTTGTACATACTCTTACAGATAAGATTCAGCCACCCAGCTCCACACAAATTTCTAATTTTGCAGATCTCGTACTGTGGCTATTTGAATCAGCAATATATTGCGTGGCTTGAACCAAATATATTGATTTGGGTTGGTGAGGGGTAGATGTATGAATATTTTTCATAGCATTTATCCGTGCTTGTTCAGGTCTTCCAGCTCTCTCGTGTCAATTACACCATTGCCGTCGATTTAAAACATCTATAAGGCTTGTCCTACTCGCATGCGCAATCCCCATTCCCTCAACGCCTTCCGAATGGTTTGCAGAGCTTTCGTAAGCTTCAAAGTTCCTGATTCCTAAACTCCGAGTTTCTGCAAGATTTTTGTGTTTGGGTATCTTTTCATTGACTTTGACCTCCTCCTTACGTGTACTATCTCACTTCAATTCTCCCAAGAGTAATGTACGATCCGAAGAAGCGGTAAGAACTACGAGATTGTTAGTAACATAAGGTGTAGAGTTGGAGGATCTCTTACTTATAGGATCTTTTCCAGGTGACAACTCGGCACAGTTAACTGTTCCCTTATGGCCAGGTAATTTGTACAATATTTTACCATTCTCATTGTTCCAAACAACAGCAGTGCCATCTCCAGCACCAGCAGCAATTCTCTTTCCAGTCGGATCCCAGCTTGCCCGAATCAAATTCTTCTCCATTCCTGCCGGCGCACCATCAAAGGTTCGGATATGTCGTTCAGTGGGCGCAAATGGTCTGATATCCCATGTTCGAACCGTCGAGTCCATGGAATTTGATAAAAGTGTTTGGGAATCAGGTGAAACTCGAAGCGATGTAATCGTATCTTGATGGCCAAGCATAGAATATACCACAGCCTTTCTCCTCATATCCCACACCTTGATATCATTGTCGATCCCACCGGAATACAGCTCATTTCCAGCTTCAGCCAATGCGACAGCCGTGACAGGGAATTCAGTAGGAATGAAATCGACAGCAGCCTTCGTCCTTGGATCCCAAATGCCTATATACCCATCGTCTGATCCACTTATGAGAAGTTCCTCTCCTCTTTTGCTGATATCCATGCAATTGATTACTTCTTCGTGTCCAACATGTCTTCGTATCCTTGTACCGGTCTCTAAATCCCAACTAGCTAGATGCATATCTGCAGATGCTGAGAACAAGGCCCTCGAGTCGCGCGACCATTGTAAATCTAATATTGCGCCCTTATGTCCTGTTAAAGTTCCGTAGTTTTCGCAATTTCCATATGTTCTCCATAAATCTGCAAAGAATCAGTATGCATGCAACAATGAATGAACGTGTATTACTCACTAATGGATCTATCCATTGACCCTGAAGCGATATAATTTCCATTGGGATCGAATTTGGCAGCAAATACCTCTCCTGAATGTCCTTCCAATTGCATTACTGGAGCTTGTAAACCACTCGTCCGAGGTACCTATTTTACAAAGGTCAGTCAGGTGTCTCCCAGATAGCCGATTATTCCATCAATATTAATAGGTACGTACTGCTTGAACGAGCGCGCCATTGCCAGTTGAACCATTTGTGGTGGATAAAGCCGTGCTCTCGTTCCCTACATTTTGCCTCTTCACAACCATTTGAGATGATCCAAAGGACCCAGAAGCTGGTCGTTTTCCAGAAGACATGATTATAGCTTCTTCCTTTAAGCTACACGCGATTTTTCGAGAAAAGATACGGATGCTTTAAGCTGCGCGTTGTTGGCACCAAGGCCCAGTGGCAGAACGCAATATGAATTTCTAAAAAGTACGCTAAAGTGCGGCCGCCTATCCGGCTTGTGCCTGGACCAGCTTCCAGCTTCAATGGGAATATTATCATGTAGCAAGAACAGCTTGAATTCATTTCACAACCCGATTTCAAGTGTAGTTCAAGAATTATAAGACACAAACATGGCTTCTAACAAAGCCGCGAGGATGGGTGAGGAGTAAGTAATCTCTTGCCAGTCATCAAGGCGACATATACTAATGCGCAACTCAGGGTCTGGAAGTAAGTACACCAGCAGCACAAGAAACACTTGCCATATTCCACGATGGCTAATCAGCATCCAGAAGTCGTGTAGACAAAGTCAATGCCGAACTAGTCACTCTCACCTATGGAACTATTGTCGCACAACTTTGCAAAGATTACGAAAATGATTATGTAGAAGTCAACAAACAACTTGATAAGATGGGTTATAATATTGGCCTACGTTTAATCGAAGATTATCTTGCCAAGTCAAATACCATGAGACGTTGCTCGAACTTCAGAGAGACTGCAGAGATGATTTCCAAGGTACGATTTCAAGAGGTATTGTGCGGAATTTGCGGAGTACAGTGCTGATAAAAACGATAGGTTGGGTTTAAGATATTCTTGAACATCACCCCGGCAGTATCTAACTGGACGAGCGATAATAAACAGTTTTCCCTAATATTCGAAGAAAATCCCTTGGCCGACTTTGTGGAATTGCCAGACGATGGAAGAGCACAAGATGAGTTATGGTATTCGAATATCTTTTGTGGGATTTTGAGGGGTGCACTGGAGATGGTGCAAATGCAAGTTGAGGCCCACTTCATCAGTGATATTCTTAGGGGTCACGATTCAACCGAGATGAGAATTACTTTGGTCAGATATATTGATGACGAGATGCCGATGGATGATGATTAGGAACCCGATTGTTTCAAGCGGGGTTGCATGTTTCCGGCGTTTATGGATGGGGGGTATCATTGCGAGGATTTTGAAGACATGGGATCTTCATGGCTCAAGGTAGATTATAAAATCTTTGGTTTAATGTCGAAAATTAATGTATGACTTTGAGACTGTGTAAAATTGGTAGTCCGGTCGAAGTATCTACGTTGATGACTTAGTGGGATATCTTGGTGTGATTGCTGGCCCATCCTGGTTTTAAGCTGCTTGACGACTCGACAACTTTCGTCTAGGGGTTTGGTACCTCATGAATTGGAGCGAGTTGGGTATGGAGATTGGCAAGTTATCTTCCGTTGTTGTTATTGTTGTTGCTGTTGTTGTTGTTGGAGAATGGTAGATGATTGAAGTGGCATTTCAGATAAGGAAACAAAGGTCACGATGTACGGGATGGAATGAAACCGGCGAGGTGCTGGGCATGCTGATGAATCGAAACATAGCTGCAATTCAACTTCTCATGGTGCAGTACTCAATTTTTGAAGAAGAGATGAGGTTGATAGAACATTTCAATAGAATAGTTAAGGTTCGTTCTTCTCCTAGGCTTTAGCTCTAGAAAACAGGTAATCGTGAGAGAAGAAACTTTTCGGCGGTTGAGCGGAGGGTGGAGTGCCGTTGAAAGGAATGCTTGATCGATGAGAAATTTCGAAAAGAATCATGCTATCATCATGAATGGGACCAAATAAAGCTCAGTTGCTTGGAATACTCGACTGTCAGGCTCAGTAGCAAGTCACAGGACTTCGTCTTCAACAGGAACTCATAGATGAATGAGACATTCCAAAGGACAAGAAGCGAGAAATTATTCTTCCACTATGAGTGTGCTCACCACTTTCCATCCCTAATTGACATAGCTACCTCTTGTGTGTTATTTAAAGCGAGAACTAGATTATTCGTTCCCATCACGCCAAACGTTTAAATTTCAGATTTTGATCATCATCTCAGATAATTAATATCCACAATATATACCACAAATCCTCGACCGACTGTCTATTAGTAATCTCATCTACAGCATAAATTTTGCCTTCTAAGAGACTCAGGTTCAAGTGATTCCAGTATGCCAATCCTGCCTTTGAAAACTTCTTTAAACCTGTAGTTTTAGCTAAACCCCCGTGACATTCCAAACATCACTCAATTTATCCAGTCATAGACACGCGCAACATCTTTATGGTGCTACAGAGCGGTAGGAACTTAGGTTCTGGATATCATGAATTGAAAGAAGAGACTGCTCATCAAAGTTTTTTTCACGAGAGGCATGGTTGTCATTAAATAAGAGTTCTAGAACCTCCTCACCGCACAGATTTCGATTTCCCCGCTAAAACCATTGATTTTTCAGCTTTTAAGACCCCTGTTTCTTTATTAAAACTTCATATAAGATGATTAAAAGAATTCAAAGTCGATTTCAAATTAATTTAATTATATACCAAAAAAGCTAGTTTATTTTTAAATATTTTATTTATAAAGTTAAAAGCTATTGAAGATAAGAATTATAAATTTTCTAAAAAAATCGCTTATTTTATATGGGAAAAACGTTACAAGTTAAAAATTTCCAATTTTTCAACTTCAAGTCTATATAATTCATGAACAAAAATAACTGAAAATAAAACATATATTTTTTCAATAAAGAATAGTATTAATTACTTATTTTGAAATTTTGAAAATGAAATTCCTCAAATTGAAAAAGTTATCTACTTTTTTAATTTATATAGAAAAACATCATTTTTACAGGGATTTTGTCACAAAATTTATAGGGTGCAATAAGTAAGTTCGATAACTCTTACATAGAAAGACAATGGGTTCTCCAGGGAAAAGAAATAGTAGTCAGGATGCGCTGTAATAGATAGCCAGAAAGCGAAAACCGGCCGCTGTGAGGAATGTGAGGTGATTGAAAACTTGAAAAGCCTACTGCGTTTTGATGTGCGAACAAAATAGGCTGCTTGCGAAAGCGGACTTCGCAAAGAATGCTAAAGTTTCAGGGGCCGCAAGCGAGCTGAAAGAGTCAAAAACTGCAATTGATCAAACACTCCACGCCCGAGGTGTTCACTAATGATAACGGTATGGTCTCTGGCCTTGCTAAAGCAAAATTAGCCAGTGCCCTTCGCGATTTGAGTGGTGTTTGTTGGGACTTCTATGAGCCCTGTTAGTCAGGCAATCTTTGCTTTCCACATTGATCTCGAAATGTGAGGCGTGAAAACTCACTACTGGCATCTTTCCTACAAGGGTCTCCTCCTATGGGACTTGGAGTGAGCAGTCAAGATGAAAGACATTTCTCACATTATCACTTTCAGGTAAGATTTTGCTAGCAAGGCGTTGAAATTTTAAGGTACTGCAAATGTGCCAGTATCTGTCTTATTTACATGTATGGTCATAAACCAAAGCTAATGCTGATGATGGTTTTCTTCTCCATAAGCATCAGCTTGAGGAATGAATGATACAATATGACATGCTGAATAAGATCATGAACCTCACCATCAAAAGATTTTCTGTCTCTCGTTTAGAACAAGCACATCAGCCACAGTCAAAATATCCTCTCCCCTATAAAGCAATCTCCCTACGGCCCATAAACAATCTAAATTTGGCACCACTCTCATCTTCTCTCCTTCGACACTTTAGCAGTCTGGTGGGTTGGCATCTCATGCTTGCAGTAAAAACCTCTCTACATGTGATATATGTATAGATGCTCACGCCCTAAATTTGTAGGTACGGAACTTGGAAGGTCGGTTATCGATGAAGGATAGATCGATGAGATTCGATACTGGTTGCTGGCCGCACAGAGCAGCGAAGAGCCATCTGTTGATCCGGAAGGAATATCCTTAGTATATCATGATTATGATGTCCTATGAGAATGGACCTTGTCAATGTAGAATCAATCATAACCTCCTCCGATCTGGCTTGCGAATGCAGTAGAAACACTCTTTTCATCATCATCAAAACGACGACCACTTAGTAGAGAGCTCGTGCCAAAGACACTGCCAGCATCGCCAGTTTTGTAATCAGCAATGCGGCCACCTGATTCGACATATCGCTTCAAGCGGTCAGATTGACTCAAACTAGTTTGTTTTTGTCCTTCGTGAACACTAACACCGAGGCTGACACCTCCCTGGCCAATGCCTCTGCCATCTGTAACACTACTGCTTGTGACATCAGTGAACTCACTGGCGGCAACGGATTCTCCAGCTATGCTCTCAGGTCCATGCCCACGACCCTTTTGGCCATTGGCGCGTGGGCCTCGTGAATCAAGACCAGGCCAGTTGTCAAGGCCTGTGAGAGGGAAGTTACCAAAGCCGGCAGGGTAAGCGGATCCGACCCCTACGCCGCCGAGATGGGATGAGTGAACCGAAGAAACATCATCCAAAGCAGAACTCATCATCGAGCCAGTGTCAGTGAAATCCTGTAGTGGGGGGGCTTTGTTATTGCCATTTCGGCCATTGTGGGACAGTCCCATTTGATAACGTTGTGGGCCACGGTAAGTTGTCTTTGGACGACTAAATTGTAGAAGCGATGTTTGCAAGTTTGAAAGTGGACCTTCAACAAGACAGCTACGTTCCTTAAAATGCTGTAACAGGTAATGCCATAGAGGATGCTTTGACAAAACCTTTGGATTACCAACAATGACAAGACCGTACTTGGCACGCGTCAAAGCTACATTGAGACGTCTAGGATCACTCAAGAAACCAATACCTTGATGGTCGTTGGATCTTACACAAGAGAGAATGATGAAATCTTTCTCTCGTCCTTGGAAGGCATCCACAGAAGCAACCTCAACCTCCTTGTAGTGCTCTTTCTTAAAAGAACCCGCATTTTGCATAGATGTCACAACATAACTGCGTTGACCTTCATATGGAGTGATAACGCCAATATCTCCAGGTAGTACTCCAGCTTTGAAAAATCGAGTGACAATCTTCTCAACATTTGAGGCTTCAGTCCTGTTGAGATAAGAAGTACCCGAAGCAGAAATTTCCTCATTACCAAGATTGGACCAGAACATCATGGGTGTGTCGGCTACAGGCCAAGGGAAATCAACGTCACGACGAAGTCGTTGTTGCATCGTGACACCGTTTTGTAGAGAACCATCGTAGAACATGTTAGACGGAAATTCAGAAAGACATGGATGCATACGATACTGAACGTTAAGTCGGATAGGGTTGAGGCCGAGGTGGACTAAACGCTCGAAGAGTGACTGGTTCAGACCTGCCTTTGCTGCCTTCTTGTTCATGATGACAGGTCCCAATTGTTGATGATCTCCAACTAAAACCACTTGTTTGCATCCCAGAACAAGTGGAATCATGCATTCTGGTTCTGCGGATTGAGTAGATTCGTCGATAAGGACTGTTCTGAATTTCATCTTGGCAAGTCTTGGGTCTCCGGCTCCAACACAAGTACAGCAAATAACATCAGCGTTGCTCAAAATCTCACGTTCAGCAGCTCTTGTCAATGCCTTGAACTTCTTCTCATCTTGACTTGACAATTCTCCCAGCTCGCTCTTCAACTGAGTAAGTTTGGCCAGTTCGTGATTGCTATCATTCATGCGGACCTGCTCATGCAAAGAGAGGAAGCCAACAGATGACTCGACATCTTCCCGGGACTTAGCCGTAAGACGAACAACTTTGAGTTGAGTTCGATGTATACGCTCACAAAGTTGATCGACGGCGACGTTAGAAGGAGCACATACAAGAACTTGGCCACCATTGACCTTAGCCAAATGATAAATGACTGTAGCAGATGTGACTGTCTTTCCAGTTCCCGGAGGTCCTTGAATGAGACTCAAAGGCTTTTGTAATACGCTCTTGACGGCGCTGATTTGACTGCTGTTCAATTCTGGTAGACCAGGAACACTGAATTTCTTAGGCATTTGAATTTTCATTGGAGCCGCAGCTACCTCGTGACCAAGAAGTTTGTGGAAAATGTATCCTGATACACTCATTTCGTCTACAGCGAAGGTCTTCATGGCGAACTGCATGCGGTCGTAAGATGTTGCCTTCCAGACATAATCGGCAGAAAAATTGTGGGTGCATTCCGTTGGGACTGATTTATCGTTGCCAACTTTTCGGAGTTCGATGGTAACTTCATCAGATTGATTATTTGGAATTTTGACCACATATCCAACACCCTCCCAGACAGGTCGTAGCTCGCCTTTGTACTTGAGTCGCATTTCATCGCCTACAGCGAGCTTTACATCGCCAAGCTCTATCTTTGGAAGAATGAAACTGGCCAAATGTTTGTTATTCAAACCATAATCCCAACGAATAATTAAACCATCTTCAGATTGGGCTTCCTTAAGCTTGCGGTCGTAATCTGCCTCAATCTTGACCAGAGGTCCGAATACGTTTTGATATTGATAGGCATCATCGTATTTAAGAAGGACAGGGGCTGGATCATCATCAATTCCAGCAGCCTTTTCCAAATCGGAAAGGGTAGCGTTAGCATTATCCTTCCACATCTCCTCCAACTTCGCGATCATTGGCGGCGTGAGATGTCGGGCGCGAAGCTGTTCTGCGTCCGTTGGAAGAGAGACAAGCCAAGACAAAAAGGAACGATCCTCAATCAACGGTTGCCATTTTGACACATCCCAGCTCATATCCTTCGAAGATGGAGCAGAGGCGCAAGGTTGACGGCATAAAAGAACCACGACTGTATCCGATTTCGCAGGAATGAAGCCGAGGAGGAAAACATTTTTTATACCGCAGTTGTAGCATTCCAGTACAGTATCTCCGAGGGTCGACATTGGGTGCAATTGAACTTCCTTGTGTCTTGCGCGAACAAGGTGATTGACAATATGAGAAGATGTAGCGTTTCCCCGGGCACTGCAGAACCATTTGTTGCATCCCAAGCACTTAACCACACAGCTTGGAGAGTGAATTCCACAATATCTACACATCAAATCAGCCCGGCTCAGGACAATTTAGATCGTTGATAATTCAACTTACGCGCATGCGTGTGCTGGCAGTTCCTTCTCATCCTCAAGACCTCGAAGCCCAAGATTTTTCATGCCATCGACTGGAACACTTGCAAGACTCTCGTTATCATCTTCATCGAATACTTCAGTCTCGTTGTCATCATCATCGCTTCTTCGTCTGCTGGATCCCAAACCACCATGACCTCCGTATTGTCCATATAACAAGTTATCATCAGGATCAATGTTTGAGAGATCATCAGCACCGGCGTTGATTGCTGCAGCAGAATCGGATATGAGGTGGTTCCCAAAGTGGGCGAAAGCGTTTTCCATGATGACAGTATGTCTAGATACTACACAAAATAATAAAGGTTAGAACTAGGTATTGTTCAGGAGAATGGCAGAAGATGCCAAATATACCATTGAAGATCCGGCTATAAGACAGAAAGAGAACCCATACTTACAATAGATTGGATAAATTCCTTATGTTTGTGGAGGTAGCCTTTGTGGCGGGAGGGCGGCGCAAAGGTTTTGGAGATATTCTTGAAAGCCGGACAAGACTTTCAAGTCATTATCGTAACTCTAACCGTAATTCACAACTTATCCTGCAGAAGTTTGAGATCTCTTGTCTGATATTGAGGAGCCCAGAAGGTATTTTACCAATGTTGGTCGGGATGGTGGAGTACTCGAGAAGAGATGCACAGTTGCTTTTTTGATTGTGGGATTTCACATAACTATACTAACAAGTGACATTGCTATTTGGGTGCTTAGCGTGCTGATACTGATACCGATACCAGCCGATAAAGGTTTGTGATACAAACTTTTTTTTTCTGCTCGACTACCTAGTACCTCACAAAAAAGCTTCATACTCCCCCTCTCAAAACACAAACTCTCTTTAAGTTGGAGACATATTGTGAAAATGATTGTAAGTTGTATTCATATAAGTTATCATATATTTCCCTGCAATGTGGTTTCAAATCCAATTGACTAATATTTCTTGTGTTCCACAGCGCAAACAAGCTCGACAACGACGAGATTATCTCTATCGAAGAGCCTTGACACTTCGAGATGCTGAGATCAGTGAAAAGCGCGCAAAGCTTCGAGCTTCTTTGGCATCAGGCAAACCCTTAGATCCATCGATTGCGAATGATAAAAAATTACGAGAAGACTATAAATACGATGAATCACGACCAGATTTGACGGCAAACGAGGAACTTGACTTGGATGATGAATATGCTCAACTTTCTGGAATCGTTGATCCCAGAGTACTGATCACAACTTCAAGAGATCCTTCATCGAGACTTTCTGCCTTTGCGAAAGAGATCAGGTTATTGATACCAACTTCAATCCGTCTAAATCGAGGAAATCTCATTTTACCAAGTCTAATTACATCCGCCCAAGCATCTGGACTTTCCGATATCATCCTCCTCCATGAACATCGTGGTACACCAACAGCCTTGACACTATCCCACTTTCCGCATGGGCCCACGATATCATTCTCTCTACACAATGTTGTTTTGCGCCATGACATCCCCAATAGCTCCCGTGGTACGGTCAGCGAGTCTTATCCCCATCTGATCTTTGAAGGCTTTACATCAAGATTGGGTCTTCGAATCGTCAAAATCTTGAAACACATCTTCCCCCCAAGAGAAGCGATTACGAACAAAACGAAAATCGGTAGCAGAGTTGTCACATTCAAGAATATTGAAGATAGTATCGAAGTTCGACACCACGTGTTCGTTAAGACGGGATATCAAAATGTGGAACTCGCAGAAGTTGGACCTCGTATGACGATGAGATGCTTCGAAATTAGAGGAGGAACGCTGGAGAATAAGGACGGTGATGTTGAATGGAGGATGAACCAATATACGAGAACTTCCAAGAAGAAGGACTACCTGTGAGAGTCTGGGATATGGTTATTTGCTTGTTTGTTTAGCGTGGAGTTTGGTGGTATCAACTTACTGTTGCGAGACTCAAAAGATTACAAGTCGAGGTCCTTCTCCATCGACATATCTACCAAAGATTGTGACAAAGAAAGAAATATCCGCAGACAACAGAGGTAGTAGCCATATGGTCGCTGCGATTCTGCAGGCCTCGTCTACCGATATGGAAAGAATCGAGAATGTACCAAGGAGGGGTTGATGCATCATGGGTACGATGTGATCTGAAAACAGTCTATGGTTGGGCATTATTTAGTTCCCCTCATTTCTGCCACCCTGTTATGCATTTTGGTTTCTTTGTCCAAAATTCGGTTATGAGCGATGCAAACAGAATTAGTGTAGGTTTCTAGATGCATGTTCTCAATCACATTGTTCACTAATTTGTCTTTCAAACTCTTTCGACGCTTTGTCGTAGTTGTCTTTGAGCATGCTACTCGCAAGAGATGCTAATCATCCATCGATAGAAAATTGGACTTCACCTAAACGGCAAAAGTCGAGTTGTTCCACATGTTTTTAATGTTTGTTCGTGCAGACATTCGACCAAGATAGAAGATATGAATTGATTCTGCAGATGCTCCGAGGCTTCCTTGGCTGCCCAATTCATATCTTGGCATGTTTATATCTCTCCAAACATTTTAAAATATTTTATCGTGTGTGTGTGTGTGGATCTGATGCATACCAAATTTTTCCTCTGATGAATTTATAATTGTGGCCTCTCCATTATTTACTCGCCGGACACAGTGTTTCCGTTCACGATTTAGGACCATGCGAGTATTCGAGGTGAGGACGACTCCATCGCGTATTGTGTTCCAATCAGGGGTAACGAGACGAAGTTCACACTCTTTCTGTCATGGATACAAATCCTCATAATGGTTTAGGAATATATTGACTGGTACAGGGGCAACACGAGATAACCTTGCTTTAAATTTCGATGTAAGAAAATCTATCTGTACTACAATCTTGACACTTTCAAAGTCTTTCCAATATGATCAAAGGCAATGCTGACACGAGCAACGGCAGCACTCTGTTCCCATGGTCTACTTCTATCCTTCATAAGTAAGCAAGGCATCACATAACTTCGTGGTGTTCAGGGTTCAGTATGACAGGCTCAAATTAAAGGAATAGCTAAAATATCCCTCAACCTATCTTGGTACCTCTGAACAGGAAGGCTAGCGAGATCAATAATCACTGTGAGAGCTGGCAGCCCCTTCACGTTATACAGCCCGTTCCCATCTGAACAATCAGGTTGCAATGCTTATATCCGCAAGGATTAAAAGGACAAGCGTGCAAGTTGAAACCTAATCTTGGATTTACGCCGAACCACGTTACCATCATCTGAATGAGATCTTATCTGGATTAGATTCCCTGTGACCATGTGGAATACCCTGCATTCCCTTGTTTACGACGTACTTTGTACAGCTTTTCTTTCGTATTGCTCATCATTACTTCCTTTGGGACTCGAGAACATTCTTAGTTCAGCTCAACGAATCCCGAGTTCCGAAATTTTCAGCGCGTAATAAAGTGTTATTTACGTACGGAACACTTTATCACAAAGTCTTTGTGACATGTACCCGTAGAAATCTTTCGCGAAATACGGGATGGCAATTCAAATTGCCATGGAAGGAATCAAAGTTTTGATAATATATCAGATGCTATTCATTATTGCCTCTTCCGTATTGCTAAGGTAGTTCCATACAGAGTGGGGGGGAGGGAGGGTTGGGGTTTACTTTTCATAGAACCTTCGGCAAGGAGGATGAGTTGGTCGTAGCAGTGGCTCCACCATCAGGAAGTAAACTTCCGATTAATTGCGGATACACGATCATTGCTTGTTTACTCCGTAAGCTGGAGGCCCCTCAGTCATGTGGCTCAGTAGTTTCTGAGGATATCTAGTCTTGCCCTATCAAAAATCGAACTCTTAGCTTTATCACCGCTTATTCGCAAGACAATACGAGGGCGTGTTTTCGATGAATGCCGGGTCCGTGCACTTACAAGAAAATAAACAAGAAAAAGATCTTATTCTTACTTGATAATTGAATAATAAATCAACTGTTCAATATAATCTATTAATTCTGCTTTGAGTATATTGAGATGCTTATAAAATATTATAATACCTATATAGTATAGAGTGTTTTTAGTAGAGAATATATCACAATAATAGTTTATATAAGGTGAGTTTTCTAGATGTTTTCGCTGACAAAAAAGCGACATTCATTCGTTCTTTAAATTCTTGAAAAATTACAAATTAATTATCACAAACTAATCGAACTACTAAACACAATCGACCCAATATTCCTGCACGATATATATTGCCGGCCATTTTCTTTACCTTAAAAAGGTTCTCGACATTTGCTTCTCTTTGAAAGTTCCGGCCCGGCTCTTTAACTACAACCTGTGCAATATCAGTCAGTAGGTACAATCTTGATTAGGAAGATAGGAAGTCCTGGTATGTCTTGGTATATCTCGGTCAACTACCGGTCCTGGGGTTTTCCTCGACAATACTACAACACTACACTACAATACACTATTCGCGGCGTGGTATCAAAATTTTGATATTGAAAAGCGTCGTCAGCTCTATCAAGTCCCCTAATCATAATCCATGCCAGAAAAGGGTGCACAGACGGTCCCCAAAAACTTTTGCTTGCCTTTTCCAACTGGCTTGCGATTTTCTGGGGATATTTGAGTGGTACGTGGACTGAATTTGTGCTGTGTCCGGAGATCATCATATAGTTTTACATTTTTCTCAGAGTTTAATGCATTTTAGGAAGTGATCAATACAGATGAGGCTCAAGCAAACGGGAACTAATGAAATCTGAAATCTACGTTCATAAAAGCTTAATCCTAAAGCTTAAGGCGTCGTCTTGTAGATTCGGTAAGGTACCCGAAGGATTTTATATGCAACAGCGCGATTACGACGTACATAGAAAAGGAAACTCTGAGTGGGCATATTGAGTATGAAATTTTACCAACCCAACAGACCGTGCCTAATAGTCATTAGTACACTCACTCATCATTCTTGAACCAATTTACTAAAAAGTTGCTTTTATTATCTATTTTAACAACGGTTATGAAATATGGAACCCAGGCCAAGGGGGGGCGAAAGCCTGAGGAGAATTACCAGGAGGCTCTCTCCAACTGTGTGATTTTTTAGCACATATCTATAATGTGTGTACCTGCAGCCACTAGTAAGCCATAGTTGCATCGTGTAAGTTATCGATTGTGACTGACATGTGAGGACTTACCGATGAGGAAAAGGTGGCTTGATCACCCTGTGAATCCTTGCGCCTTATAACCACAATGTGAGAAATAATTCTCCGAGTTGTTGTGCTCACTACTTCAAGCAACGAACTTTCTATCAGGCCCCGAAAGACCGAGATGAATGCAGATCATCGAATACGCTCAGATGTAGTAATCATTCCAGCCAAAAGGATTGACGAATGTTAATTGTTTCAACAGAAGATGATCTTTGAATATTGCTCCACGGTTTTCGGCACGAACTGCTGTCTTCCCCTGGAGTAATCTATTAATGTACTTTTGATGGCGCTAGCATAGTTCCGCGTTGTGAGGCACTGTCCATTTCTTCAACCCTTCCATATTTCAGATGGTTCTTGAGGTTCTCACCATGCATTTGGCTTACCACATTCTTACGCCAAGAGATGTCATTGGCAGCAAAAGCAAAGAGTCTATAGATATACTGCACATAGATGGGGTTGAGAGAGTACGTATACCTCCCATCCAATGCAACCCAGCACAGCGACAAAACATTCAAGGCTACCCGAGCCATCACAGGACAATATCGGACTTCACTATGTTGCCGTCAAGGTCTTGAACCTAAGCTCAGAGGTGGACACGAAGCTGACAGGACGGTCCAATTTCAAGAGCTTCAATTTTCTATAAATTTAAGATGTTTCGCCATGGAATTCTTCTCGTCACTCCTTATCTCATCTCATCCTCACCACAGTTTCTTCTTTACAACTCCTTCTTTGGAGAACACAATCTTTTCAGTCGCTTTTTGTTTAATTCACAATCATGAAGTATTTTACAGTCTTTACTGCCCTCACTGTATTCTTTGCACAGGCATCCGCATCAGCTATTCCAGCCGTTCGTTCACCACTCACTCCTCGCCAAAATACCACTGCCTCTTGTGCAAACTCAGCTACTTCCAGATCTTGCTGGGGAGAGTATTCCATTGATACCAACTGGTATGATGTTACTCCTACCGGAGTCACCAGAGGTATGCGATATCAAATTCTGATTCACTAGTCTATCACTAACTTGCTATATAGAATACTGGCTTTCAGTTGAGAACTCTACCATCAAACCTGATGGTTATACTCGCTCAGCCATGACCTTCAATGGAACTGTTCCAGGACCTGCAATTATAGCAGACTGGGGTGACAATCTTATAATTCGTACGTCTCCAGTTGCCCAGGAAACTTCTTTATCCTCACAACTTGCGGCCCTTGAATATCATTCTTTCTAAGCTTTGATTGTCCCTACTAACTACCTGATAACAGACGTCACCAACAATCTTGAATACAACGGTACATCTATTCATTGGCATGGAATTCGTCAACTAGGAAGTCTCGAATACGATGGTGTACCCGGTATGTCTTCAAAAGATCGTGATCATGCGATCACAAGATATTTTCCTTTCTCTCCCTTCCTACCCCACGTCCCCTCCCACTGCACCCATGAATTCTTCCCATATTCTATTGAAAAATGATTAATATTAATACCAGGTGTAACTCAATGTCCCATCGCTCCTGGAGATACCTTGACCTACAAGTTCCAGGTTACTCAATATGGAACCACTTGGTATCACTCTCACTTCTCTCTTCAATACGGTGACGGACTCTTCGGACCCTTGATCATTAACGGCCCTGCTACGGCGGACTATGATGAAGATGCTGGTGTAATTTTCCTCCAAGATTGGGCACATGAATCTGTTTTCGAAATTTGGGACTCCGCTAGAATTGGCGCTCCTCCAGCACTCGAAAACACTTTAATGAACGGAACTAACACCTTCGATTGTTCAGCTTCTACTGACCCTAATTGCGTTGGTGGTGGCAAGAAATTCGAGTTGACGTTCGTCGAAGGTACCAAATATAGATTGAGATTGATCAATGTCGGAATTGACAGTCACTTCGAATTTGCTATTGATGGACACACGCTTACTGTTATTGCCACCGATCTTGTTCCAATTGTTCCCTACACTACCGAAACCCTTCTCATTGGTATTGGTCAAAGATACGATGTTATTGTTGAAGCCAATGCGGCAGCAGGCAACTACTGGATTAGAGGAAACTGGGGAAACGCCTGCTCAGCCAACAATGAAGCCGCAAATGCTACAGGTATTCTCCGATACGATAGTTCCAGCACCGCAGATCCTACCTCTGTTGGCACCACGCCACGCGGCACTTGCGAGGATGAGCCAGTTGCCAGTCTTGTTCCACACTTAGCATTGAACGTTGGCGACTACTCTCTCGTCGACGAACAGGTGTCTTTTGCATTCACCAACTACTTCACATGGACCATAAATTCAAGTAGTTTACTCCTCGATTGGAGCTCCCCAACAACTCTTAAGATTTTCAACAACGAAACTATCTTCCCAACTGACTACAATGTTGTCCCTCTCGAGCAGACCAACAATGAAGAGTGGGTCGTCTATGTCATCGAAGATCTTACTGGGTTCGGCATTTGGCATCCCATCCATCTCCACGGTCACGATTTCTTCATCGTAGCTCAAGAAGCCGATGTGTTCAATGCCGATAAGTCGCCAGCCAAGTTCAACCTCGTCAATCCTCCACGTCGTGACGTTGCAGCACTTCCAGGAAACGGTTATCTTGCCATTGCATTCAAGCTTGACAACCCTGGTTCCTGGCTCCTTCATTGCCATATTGCATGGCACGCATCTGAGGGATTCGCGATGCAATTTGTGGAGTCTCAAAGCTCGATTGCGGTCGGGATGACCGATACTGCTATTTTTGAGAATACTTGTGCAAACTGGAATGCTTATACTCCTACTCAGTTGTTCGCTGAGGATGATTCTGGAATTTGAGGGATTTTCATCGCCCTGTGTAATTGCGAATCATTAATCGGATTAATCGTTCGTTCATGAGGATGTCTTTAACACATCTTTCAACCTTCTCTCTCGCTTATTACAACACACCACTCAATACAGTACTATCACGGATGTCACGAAAAACGCAGAGTACCTTCTTTTACACCACTGCACATAATTTTTATTATTTATTTTCAATTGTTTATTCATTCGTTCATTCACCTCATTTCATTCTCACACTTGTGAACATTTCTCCTTCACCCCTTCCGAGTTATTTCGCGAGCGAGCAGTACATATTGAGTATCTGCGTAGTCACTCGTTTAAATTGGATTTCTGGATGATGGTCAGAAAAGAAGCATAGGAATACAGAACTTGCTTGCTGACTCGATTCGATTGCCTTTATTTCCTTGATTTGGATGTCTTTGAACGGATGCGGAAGATGGTTACTCTACTCACTTTGTGTATAGTATATAGTATATGGATATGTATTGCTTGGTGGACTTGTATGGCTTTTGTGTTCGGTGATTATGATTGTGATATGATAGATGAGTTGATGACAATGTAGTACGCAATTGACTGAGTAAATCGCACTTTAAAGTCATGCCTTTGTTAAGTACGCTGCAAGTCATTCTTGAAGTACAAAATTTGAATTGAATAATAAACTATCTGTCATGTTTGAATCTCTATAACATGGAAAAACATACAGGCGAGGCTGTATCTCAAACATCTCATCCTGTCTTTCTTGGGGTTCAGGATGAATATTTCTAATGCATAACTCAGTAAATAATAGTACATGATCGCGATGAGAGGTTCAAATACAGGGTGCGGGTCTTTGTTGTGCGATGTACGAAAGATGCATACAGCCTATGAATACCTATGAATGCATAGTGTCCGATACTCTCAAGGGTTTAAAATTGCATTTATCTCCATCGTCTTTTGAATCCCTCCAATCTTGTGAATCTTCCCCAACCTCTAAGTATACAAAGCCCTACGGATATTTGCCACGCACTCAATCAATAGGCCCCTCAAATCCCAAAATCCCTCAAAATCGCAATCTCCCATACCTTCCACCGCTCTCAATGTCCCCAGCCAACCGCCTGGAAATCACCAGATATCACATCACCCGACAACCCGACAAGTATCCACAAACCACCAAACCACGCTGCAAGTGTGAATGTAACAGTGACATAGCGGCAAAGGTGGAAAACGTGGAAATGACGGAGAAACACCAGAGTGGAGAAAAGAGTAAGGTTACTGCGCAGAAAGGATCCGCATCTAGGGCTATCCATTTATTTCCTAATGTTCCTTGAAGAATGTCATTCGCCCCGCTAAGGTTCATGGATCTCGGCAGCCGCCCGTAAGCTTTCTCGGCTAAATTATACCCTGGAGATGATCTCACGATAGATAGGTAGGATTCTTCAAAGTTTGGATAGTGCTAATACGAGGAATCCGATATGATACGATGTGAAGGATTTGTTAGCCCCGGATTCCGGAGTCCGGAATGTATGTATGTGTGAATGAATGAATGAATGAATGAATGAATGAGAGCGTGCAAGGATTGATTGATGGCTTAATGATGTTTTATGGTTAAATTTAGTTTTGATGACACAACTGTATCGAGATTCTCGGAATGGATTTAGGGCGCGAAAAAGATGCGGTTTCCGAGTTTTGTTTCCAGCTGTGATGGTGTAATGTATTGCTAACTATGTTTGGTTTGTTGAAATCGAGATGATGGAAGATAGGGGTTGCTCAAAGGAGAGTTATGAAGTTCATAAGTGATTGAACCCCTTGTTTCCTTAGAATCTTTGGCTTTATTTTTCGAAGCCGTCTCAGCTTTCGTGTGGATGGCAAAATTAGCTGTGATAACGAGATCTACTCGTGCTCCTCGCTTTTCTTTCTTCTTGATGTTAGCACGTTCTTGTGGCTTTACCTCAAGCTACTTTTATAGGATCTTGTATATTGCGTTCCGATCTATTCTTTACTTACTGAGCAGCTTTTCCAATTACAATCCGCCATTCTCTCTGTTCATTTAGTTTCCTTGCAGCAGCGTCCTAGCTCCCAACGTTAAATCAGCAACTGTTTTCCTCTTTACATCTTTCTGGGCCATTTTGCTCTCCGATCTCTACAGAAATTTGCCTTTTGTCCCTTCGAATTCTCTTCTCACTCACTTCGAGCATCTCCTCTGGCCTTACTAGCGCTTTTGTATTTAGTTGATACACCTTTTGCTTGACTGTATGCTGCTTTGCGAAAGATGGTCATTTCTTCATGCCTACACAAGCTTAGCATGATAAGCTTTCATGAAAGCTTGTCGAGCCTGTTCTACAGCCTTTGATCTCAATCTCTTCGCTGAGGCTTTGCCTTGATTCTATCCGTAAATGGCTAGCAACATGTAGACAAACGATCTGAATGGTCTAATTGTGGTCGGGAATTCAGATCCCTCTTTGGGTTTAAGTTACATTCGGAAAATGAGAGACTCGAGTGCTGAGTTGCAGTGCGGTCTTTTGGACATTCTGGATTGAATAATCTACCGTCGTCCCCACCCCACTGAGGCTCTGTCCAAATCAAACCACACAAAATTTCCATGCTACTTTGATTGGGGTAAAGCTCGCAGAACTTGCTTTGAATTCCCAATATACCTAAGCAGCTCCAGATTAATTGTGTCCCCGTGGTTTTCAAGACAACTCTTCTGAGAAACATAGCCTATGACCTTTTTTTTTCTTTATATACCCTTATCTCGTAGTGAGTACTACTGTGAGCTGCATAGTGAAAACATCAATCGGGAAGAGGTTCATCAATATATGTTACTTTCACTGCGACCTGCGCTTTCATTGAAGTCTAACCCTAATTCAAATGCTATGGAGTATATGCGCCGTATGCCTAGGATATGAACAATAGACTTGGACAGCTACCTTCAAACCAGTGTGAACTCTTCCGCCATCACTCTAAGCTTTCCGGAGTAACCATTTCCAGTTTTCTGCTGTATGATCCGTTCAATGTCCACGAACGCTCTAACAAGAACTCTCCACTTCCTGAGTTCTTTCTCCTTCCTCAACACAATTTGATCCTTACACCTAGCTAGATAGTAAATGACACCTTTTTCATAGTACCTTCAGTAGTCATGGCTATAAGTCCATTCTTACAAACAGTGATCTTCAACATCTCCCCCAAAGGTGTTTTTGAATTCGCCAAGTTCATTCTGTCGCAGAATTGTCCCAAGAACCAGGGCCTCATCGTCGTTGAAGTTAAACAGAGAAGCGTACCTAGTCTCCATGGCGTATCCTCCAACGTATGTAGATGATTATCCGGATATAGGGATAGAAACATTGTGAGAACGAAAGATAAAGTTTCATGCTTAATCTTAAGACAAAAAAGTTTTTCCAACGTTGTTTGTCAAGTTAACTTCAGTTATGTAGATCCATCTAATTAGATCCAACTAGATCTAATTAGATGCAGATTTTCAGATCTTACTTTAGGACTAGATCAAACATCCCACCCCCAAGCGTACCTATTAATAAATCTGTCACTCCGCACGTCATAATTCTCCATTGAAGGAAGTACATGAACCTACCTACTGGAACTATTTTTATTGTGAATCATATTTAATTCAGTTCTCCCGCAGATCATATTCCTCTTTCGACGAAAGCAAACAATCTAAATCAATAATCTATGTTGTGAATCATACCTAGACTTGTGGTGATACCTGTCTAGACCCCTCTATTCTGATATACCTAAGTCCCACGTCAACGTAAAAGGAAGGTGGAGATCTAAGCGAGCACTTTCCGTCGGAATTAGCAGATACTACACTTCTAGGTCAATACAACTCGATCAGTCAGTTTCCCATTATCTTCCAGATATATAAACTCGACAATCCGTTTCACAATTCCACTCCCATACCATTACAGTTACTAAATCAACCAATCTTCTTTTTCCTTCCAAAAATACAGATTTGGTAACCTATATCAGAATTCCATCACAGCATCCCCATTCTTCGACTCCGACGAACTTTTCATCTCAGGTTTCGAGGAAGGCAACGTCGATATATCTAAACAAGATGGCTTCGACATCTCTCGACACAAATGATGCTGCTGACTCCCCAATATTCCAACCCGCTGATGCCGAAATTCTCGAAAGAGCGGGCCACCTGAAACCAGCGCATGGAAGAAGACGTGAAGTGTCATCGCACCTAATTTCTGAGGAGTATATTTCAAGCTCGAGCGGCTTCGAAGATTCGCAGATAGTTCCAGATCTGCTTGTGTCTCTGGAGACGCTGATATATATCGGGTGGGGACAACAAAAAGCTGGAGAGATTTGGAGAAGATGGCGAGAAGTCAAAGACGCTGAGACAGAAGATGGGCGAGAGGCTATTTTTGAGATAGAGTTTTTAGACTTTGTACTTGAAAGATACGTTCCGGAAGTCGACATTTCAAATGACAGGGAGACTTCTATTGAGCAGATGGAGCTCTGGGGATTGGCAGCTGAGCTGATCAACTGCATAATGGCAAGTGAATTTGAAGATGTTAGGATGACAGAAACGGTCCAATACTGGGTTCGCGACACGATGAGTATTCGATACTTGGGTCTTGAGGGGCTACAAAAGAATAGTGCCAGAAGAGACGAGAAGAGGAGAAATGGCACCGATGATGGTGGGTCTGAAATACGAGCTGCGGTTGCAATAGCGCCTTTATCAACCGTACCGGGACATACGATACTCTTCAAGGCCATCTCAAGCACCCGAGTTGGGTATTTGCCGGATGGAAGTATGGATATCGAATCTCTCACAAGCTTACCCCCAACGGATTTCAGAGGAAGGGTCTTTGCTCCACTCTACTTCACTCCGAGCCTCCCTGTCGCAAAAGTATATCGCGATTATGCCCGGAACCGAACATCATCCACAGTCTTGATGATACAGATGAAGGTACCGAATTCCTTCATAGAGGCTCTTCCCCCACACATTTGTTCATTCGGAGATCTGTGGAAGCAGGTTGTGTATACCTGTAGAGGAGGTAACAACTTACGAGGTACCATGGCTAGGATACACAGTCATGCACTAATCATCGCTCCCATTGCAAAGGGAGACAATAACGCCATTGCTCGTCTTAGAGATTGGCGAGAGATTACACTGAACAACGTCGTGCATGTAGATGGAGAACAAGCCATCCAGTACGTGTTCCAGACAGAATCTGTTTTTCGAGAGCTAGAAGAGGTGTGCGAGTTGAGCGTGATCAAGGTTTAGGTTATGCTGTTAGGGCTATTTAGTTACTATGACGGTGCTTAGGGGCCTTGGCTTGTTGCTTCAATACCCACGATGGTTCATATATTCAGTGGTTTAGTAGTTTCGATGGGCTAGATATTAGACAATAGATATTGGATGGTTTCACCATTTTTACAGTGCTACGGATTCCAACACTATCTAGTACACATTACCTGTTGGGCAGACTTCGTAAAATGGTGCCTATGACGAGGGAGTGATTTTAGATTAAAAAGGAATAGATTTAAAATTATGAATGTTATCTTTTGGATATTGGATTGTTTAACCCACCAGTGGGTGTACGGACTGACGGGACACTATTACAAAAAAGGACTTGTGGATATACCTCTTGGTATATCAACTCGCATGTATATTTTAGGAATAGTCACGATTGTTGATTTGAGATGAGACAATTAAACCATAAATTCTGATATCAAATAATAGAAGAATGAATGAATTTGTTATAAATTTGGAAAGTTGGGAAGTCTCTTTGTAGGAGAAACAACAGGCCGGAATTGACCACTGGCGAAACCTAATTGTTCTAATTCAATTCAGAGAATTAAAAGCTTAAATAGTATGATAACTGGATAACTGAATACAAATGGAAGGATCTATTTAATATTATTAAATCTCATAATCTTATTTATTGTAGATTTATTGTAAATTTTTTACAAGGTGATCGATCAATCCTGGCCTCTTTTTTCTCCCACCTGGGGAGCTTAAGATGTGCAACAAACCAGGAAAATATACGATCACGTGATATTGTCAAACGAGACTACTCATTGGCTGACGAAATCGGAGTATCATCGGGAAAAGAGAACATTGGAATGCAAGATTTACCGTTCTGCAACAAAACCACCAGAAATCATGTGTACTCAGGTACTTCCAACGACTTGCTGCCTCCAACTTAGAGAGTGAGGCAAGCTGGAGAGCAACAGGGAAGCGAAAAATGTCTACCAAAAATGCAAAGGAAGAAGTGCATGAACTCGGATCTCTCTGAGGGGGACGAACCCCACCTCTTTGAGCACTTTCGAGACAACACCACAAGAAATTCCCATCAGCGAAACTCGGGTTCCGCAACTCGTCTCATATTGGCGGCAAGCAGAAATCTATATCTCAAAAATGATGATTAAATGATGAGTATACGAGATGGCAAAAAGCTCGGTGCAAAACCTACGATTGGTGGCGTGAATGCGAATCAGGAGATGATGGGCATATTGCGTATGTAAGTAGAAGGCTTATTATACGATACAGTTGAGACAGTGAGGCTCAGCAGGATGGGCATCAATAGGTATAGCGAGAACGTGGAATGCGCAGCCATAATAAATACGCGTACATATGCAAGTCGATATTCGGTCTCAGATGAAGCCGATAGATACGTATGTCGCCGTTTGTAATTGTATGGTAGGTATATATGGATATTTCACTCGGTGTATCTGTCTAGATGATCGCATTCTTCTACTATGTATGAGGACATCAAGATAGGAACACCGGTGGAAGGCAAAAAGAAGCATGATATACTCACTTCTATATACGATCTTGGTTGGCTCGATTGACCTGTTTGACCCATTGACCCATTGACACATCACTTATTATTACTCTGTTCATGTATACCTACAGACCAGACATACATAGTACATACATACGTAGCACAGCCTTCCAACGTTCGCTTTAAACAATGAAAGCGACATCCCCTCATCCCATCTCTGAAGCCGACTGCGGCAATGGTACGGGACTACATAATAAAGAAAAAGATAGCAATCACTTCTCTTGATAGTCATTATTTAAGTCCGCCATCGATGAATAGAAGTTGTTGTTTGGATTTCCAATAATACGACTACCGATATCTTACTCCACTCATAAATCAATCTCATACAGTCACACCTAATGTCACACTTTGTTTTTGAATGATTTCACACACACACACACACTCTCTCTCTCTCTCTCTCTCTCTCACAACATCCATTCAATACTGGAGGAAAAGAACCTCATTTCCATTCACCTCACATCCATTTTCCAATATAATATACTTATTACTAACCTACAGAAGGTTACCTGAGATTATAATCGGAAGAAGAATTCTTTTCTCCTTCAAATCAAATTTTCTTGGAGATCAAAATAAAGATTTGATTTTAATTTCGCTTTCCCCGGCTTTTTCTTCTTTTACATAGAACTCACAAGGCCATACCATACATACATAATATTTCCACCTAACGTCATTCGATTTTTCGACCCCGGGTCTTTTTAACCTTTCTCTTAACTACAACAACAACAACAAAAACAAATCCACTCCTTCTTCCTTCCTTCCTTCCTTCCTTCCTTCCGATAACCACACACCGTCTATCGAATTTCTCTCTTATCATTTTGATCGCAAACATTTGAATTTATAGTATTGATAATTGATATTTTGCATCAATTGATTCAAGCAATATGTCGTACACTCAACAGTATCAAGGTATGGGTGGAAATCCATATCAAAATTCCGGTGCTGCTGAAGCCGGTTATGGAGGTGTAAGCAAATTTCAATTTCATACTCATCCTCTCTTCATTTTCATCATCACCTCCATGCGCAAAATTAATATATATACTAATGTCATGATAGAACAATGCAGGCCAGCCAGGGCTTTCCCACGAAATGTCCAACTACTCCCAAGGATCCAACTATTCCTCCGGCACACCCGGCGCCATTCCACCTCCAAGTAACAACGTCCTTACCCAACAAGCTTTCCTCGATCGCGTTGACTTTGCCAAATCCGAGATTCGTTCTCTCTCTTCTAACATCTCCCAAATTGCCACTCTTCACCAACGCGCCCTTTCTTCCCCCGATTCTTCCTCCACCGCCTCCCTCGAAAATCTGGTAACACAAACCCAGCTCAAAAATACTCAAATTCGTGATCAAATCAAGTATTTGGAAGGTGATGCGATCAAGACTCAAGATGGTACCAAGAATATCAAGAGTACGCAAGCTAAGAAGCTGAAGACGGAATTCGAAAATCAATTGCAGCAGTATAGGGAAGAGGAGTTGAATTACAGAAACGAATATAGACGTCAAATTGGTAGACAGTATCGTATTGTTAATCCCGAAGCTACGGAGGCAGAGGTCGAGGAAGCTAGTCAGATGGATTGGGGTTCGGAAGGTGTTTTTCAAACTGCTGTATGTTTTATCCCACTTCGATTCTGGGTTCCCCTGCCATTTTACACTCCCAGAATATGAATTTATACATCTAAAAACTATACTAACGAGTTATTCAGCTCAAGTCCAATCGATCAGGACAAGCATCTTCAGTGCTCGGAGCTGTCCGCGCTCGTCACAACGAACTCCAACGTATTGAAGCTACTCTCACTGATCTCGCAGCTATGTTCGCCGATATGGCCCAAATAGTCGAAGCTCAAGATCCAGTTGTCGAACATACCGAACAAAACGCCATCAAAACCGCCGAAGATGTCGATAAAGCAAATGTTCAAATTGACAAGGCGAATGAACACGCCCGTCGTAGAAACAGACTCAAGTGGTGGTGCTTGTTGGTTACGCTCATCATTATCCTGGCCATTGCGTTGGGAGTAGGTCTGGGTGTTGGGCTAGCGGTCAAGGGGTCCAAGACTGCTACTAGCTAGAGGCCTGTATGAACGCGGGAGCAGTTGAAATTTTCAAATGGTCTTGACCTCGCGCATCTTTCGGGGCACGAGGTATGATGGAGGGGTGGGGGGTTTGAAAGCGATTAAATAGATTCAACGAATGATGCGGTTCCACAGGACCACGAAGGGGATGGGACGGAATCTTGTATGTTGTATATTTGCTTGGGGCATCATTTTTCGTAATTTCTTTTTTCTCTCTATTTGCGCGCGTTTCTTTTCTACTCTTTCTACGAATGAATTGGGGTCTTTAATGCACAATGGGATGGACGACTCACATATCATGTTATGCAAAAAGCTTGGGGTTTTTTACATAGGTATTTTAATATTATGACGACGGGATGGTTTGGGGCTTGGGGAGGGACTATGACCATGGCATAGTTTGGGGAGAACGATAGGAAGAACGAGAGAAAGAACGGGATATGAGAGAAGTTGGAGAGATGGTTGGGGATGAGTTCTTAATAAAGCATGGTTGTGCTTTCGGTGGTTAGGAGTGGTGTTTATGAAAGAGGGAGGAAGGAAGCCAATGTAATGAAATGCAAGAATAAACGAATGTCCTTTAGTAATTAACCAATTATACATGTGTGCTTGCTTGTTTGGAGTGGTCTAAATTCTACCAAATTTTAGGGGTGAACGGACGGTCATGAGCTTGCAGATCTATCTGTAGCTTGACATCAAGTCACCTCAGCTTTGATACGGATACCTCATGCTACTTCTCGAAATCTGAGCCTAGATCCAATCGAATAGGTATGTTATCAAGCATATATCCAACGAAACCCTGCTCTCCATCTCTATGTAGCTATTTGGCCAGTTTCATCTATTCACCAATTCCTAGAATTCTTCCCATATTTACTGTATTATCGTATACCAATTGACTACAAGACACCGCACCCACCTCATGTTCATGCACTTTCCACTGACACCACTGACACCACTAACACCATATAAAACCCGCTGCACGAGCCCACAAAACTCCCACCCTAAACCCTTACCGATAATTTCGTCAGCCTTGCACGATCAAGCTAGATTGGCCAATCATATCACATCGGCATATCTTCGGACTACTTCAAGGACAGCTTTCAACTGCCAATTCTAGGCCTGAGCACATCTTCACAGCACTGAACTCAATATCTCCAAATTTCGAGACTTCTTTTGTTTTCTTGAATGTCAAGTGTGAAGTTTTCGATGGATTGTGTTGGTTCTTGAGGGTTTGCTCACTTCTTATTCTTAGCCTCATTTTCGTGCTTGTTCCTTGTTCTTTAAGGAGACCTTTTTTTATTGGGGTTCAATCGAATTCAGAGGATCGAGAGGATTGCACATGTGAATATTACAAAGGAGGGAGAGATTGATTTGGAGAATTGTATGCGCAAAGGAAAATAAGGGAATCCACATCGAGCGGGACGTGTCAAACGAACTTCTGGTAAAATGAATGGATTCTCAGATCATGGGTTAGATGAGGGGTCGTTTGGGGAGAAAGGGGGGATTGTGAAGGCTTTTGATGCTTTTCGTATGTTTTATCCTCTTGCTGGTGTTCCTTTTTGCTTGCGACCATATATTGGGCTGCAATTGCATTTAATTGCCTGTTCATTTTGAAGCATACGATCACTTTGGAAGATCACTAGCTAACTCGACTCCCACTCAAAAGCCAAAGCGAAACCACAATACGTAACACAAACTTCTGGGGGCGGCAAATGGACCGTCGCCATGATGCTCGTGTCCTTCGCTCTCCTCGTCTCCGAATTCATGCGTTGGTGGACTGGCCACGAAACCCACACCTTCGTGGTTGAGAAGGGTGTTGGTCATTCCCTACAGATAAACATGGATATGGTCATCAAAATGAAATGTTCGGAGATCCATCTTAACGTCCAAGATGCGGCTGGTGATCGCATATTAGCTGGTATAATGCTCAAAGAGGATGCGACAAATTGGAAACAATGGGTGGATGCCAAGGGTATACATCAATTGGGTAAAGATGCACATGGAAGAGTGATTACCGGAGAGGAATATCATGAGGAGGGATTTGGGGAGGAACATGTTCATGATATTGTGGTACTAGGAGGAAAGAAGAGGCCGAAGTTTGCGAAGACCCCGAGACTTAAGGGTGGTCCTAAGGGGGGTGATAGTTGTAGGGTTTTTGGAAGTTTGGAGGTTAATAAGGTACAGGGTGACTTTCACATCACTGCCAGGGGTCATGGATATCCGGAGATGGGAAAACATTTGGATCATAGTGGTTTGTATTCCTTTTATTATTTTTTCGCTTGTGAATGTTTTGAATAACTGCTGACGTAATGTAGCATTCAATTTCTCACACATAATCAACGAGTTATCATTCGGTCCTTTCTACCCCTCCCTTCTCAACCCCCTCGACCGCACCATCGCCGGCACACCCAACCATTTCCACAAATACCAATACTTCCTCTCCGTAGTCCCAACTCTCTACTCCCTCTCGCCATCAACATTTTCTCCCTCGTCATCTCCCACCCTTCTACGCACAAATCAATACGCTGTTACATCACAAGAACATATTGTAGGCGAACGCAGCATACCGGGTATATTCTTCAAATATGATATTGAACCGCTTCTTTTGACAGTAGAGGAAAGTAGAGATGGATTCTTGAGATTTGTGGTTAAGGTTGTCAATGTTGTGAGTGGTGTGTTGGTTGCGGGCCATTGGGGATTCACGATTACAGAGTGGGGATTGAGGGTTTGGGGACGAAGGAGTGGGAGAGGTGCGAAGGGTATGTTGGATAGTGGAAAGTACAATGAGGATTAAATAGTTGTTGCGAAGGTTGGAAGAGATTTTGTCACATGCTTGTGGATTGAAATACAAGGGAAGGCATGGGAATACAGGTAGAGCTCGAGGCGGAAAAAGCGAAATGGGAAGAGAGGAAGCAGTTCGGAAAGAAGTAGAAGAGAGTACAAGGAATTTAGGTATTTATATATTCTCACACACCAGGAGTTTAGGCAGGGAAATGGGAATGGGAAATGGACATATCAAATCTGAATCTGAATGCAAAAAGACTCAAAATATCGGTAATTTCGTATCATGGAGAAGGTGAATGATCAATTATTGTTTTCATTTTACACGGTCTTGTTACAGATGCATTGCTTTTTTTGTAGCACCGCTTCTTATTTCTTGCATTCTGAGTGGAACTTGTGGTTGATTGTAGAGGGTGCTGTTAATATGTTACCTACCTACCTGGTGGGTAGTGGGTAGTGAGTGTAGTTACTTGACAGTTTTCGTTTATCTAGTATGGCTATTTATTTCCATCTTCATTTTCATTCTAAACTCCTTGAGCTTGAATGGATCTAGATTTACCTAGGTACTGGATTGTCGGTTGTTGTTGTTTTCTTGGGAGGGGGGAATGGAGGGAAAGGGGGGGAGAGGGAGAGGGAGAGGGAGAGGGAGAATGGTGGGGGTGGTGGGGTGTGGGGTGTGTTATGTCCATGTGTAGTATAGATGGAATGAAATAATATGAAATGGGTATTATTAGGGTATTGTATTCTTGTGATGGAGTTTGGTTGGGTTGGGCTCTGGGGGAGTGGTGAGAAGGAGGATGGATGAAAGGGGAGAAGGGAGGCGGGCAGGGAGGGAGGAAATGGGGGAAGAATATGGTGAACGGAAGCTTAGAAGTTGGATATATATTTGGAGAGTGATATGTGTATGTGAGCGAGGGAGTAGGACTGGGTATGTTTTGTAATTTTGATAATTGGAGACTTGAAGAAGATAGTATCTTGATTCTTGGGTTTACGGCAGATGCCAGGTGATTGGATGCGAGGGTGGGATTGGAGATGCGAAGGCTTCTGGGTTTGAGTAGTTCTTTGAATATGAGTTCTGCGCTGTGAGTGTATTGTCTGGTGGTATTTTGCTACTCTTCTGCCTCTCGAGTTCTTGCATGGAAACAAGTTGGTATCCTACTCGTTCCAGCCGGTTACAGAAGTCTTTCAAATAACATTTTTTGATTCTCAGCATGTATTTATGTTCTTCTTTGACTTTGCAGTTTTCTTCATACCTCGGATGTGCTTCATGGCACATGAGATTATATGCCTCGAGCAATTTCGATCAATTCCCTTCAAACTCACTCATTCAAACTACAACTTGTGATTTCGATTAGAATTGCGGCCTAATACATGTTCTAATGGAGCAAAAGGAAGATCAAGGATAGCCATGATTGGAGCATGAAGGACGAGGAAATGAAAGACATGATCTAGTTTCGTGTTATCAATAGTTTCAAATTTCTTGTTTCAAATTCGGCCCTTTTGATGAATCAATGGCTGATGAGAGCGTTTATATTTCTCGGCAAGGCAGTGAGATATCCATGAGGTGAGTTGTGTTTTTTCTTGGCTGTAAGATTCCAGTACTTCATAAGATCTGGGGAGAAGCTGGGGAAAAGCTGGGGAATGCTCTACCAATTAAAACAATGTCTATTGTTAGGTTTCTGGGATGTCCGATGGGGTAACGAGTTACTCCATTTGGTCAATAAGATGACCTCGGGGATCGTGGAGTAGATTGGTATCAATTCTCTTTCTGGCTTCCGTTGCTGAATAGGTAGGTGGCATTTGAGCCGAGCACTGTAGAAGTCAGGTTAGAGAATGACTTTGAGCTTCACTTCCTTGTCTCCAATTAGTTGAAGTGTCTGTTCGGTCATGGATCTCGGATTCACATATCAGAAATGGAGATGTGAAGCATCAATGCCGAAGATAGATTGATAGGTTTCCTAGAGCTGTGTATCAGACGACAGATGGGACAGGGGCCAAATATTACCGAGTCGTGTTTAATGGGCATGAAATACAGATGAAACATTTAAAGTTATACTTGAATAGTATTGAATTATAAATGAAAGTTATGAAGTGAAGATATTTTGACAGGAGAGAGTTCGAAGCCAATGACAGAACTATTCAGCGAGGATCGTGTCGAGCTGCCACGTCTTCAAATAGTATATGGCACATTGCATCCTATCGATCTTTTGATTGAAAAGCAGCATGGAAAGTGTTAGATGACTGGTGATGATTCTTCTGGGAGATCTTCTTTGTATGTAATTCGGTCCGAAGTTTGGATGTCAAAAAGAACACAGAACACTAGACCGGCCAAGGTGGTACTAGGTGGCTGATTCCCCACCGCGGTTAAAGTCCTTGATCATTTCCCCAGACTTGGCTCTTTTTCTTGAAGAAATCAGCCTCTCAACCCATTTTGTTGTGTAAATCATACACAAATCATCAACCTGACAATAAGCTTGTAACTTCGCACAATTTCAAAGATCTGCCAAGTCATGAAAACACGAATCATATGTAAGGTTGTTTATATTGTACAGCAGCGGGTTGGAAATGCTTCCACGGCATAAATTCTCCGTCACGGGCTTCGACGTCGCCGTCACTGTACACCATTTTACGATACCGACACCAATGTTAATGCCACATCACACCTCTTCAACATTTCAACTAGAAATAAGCCTGGGCACATTTTGATCTCGCACAGAATTTCACAGCATATGTCCTATGCAAGATCTTGCATACTCAGTGTGTGTGGCATTCTACCGTCCCCACGGATGTCAAATGATGTGACATCTATCACCGACAGCAGGGGCCCGGGGCACACGATATCGAAACGAGCTACTAGAATATCGTATTCTTATTGGAATCAATGTGAAAACACAAGGTTTCTGTAAAGCAGGTACCAGACGAGGAGATATCACGAGGTGTTACTAGAGCATTGTAGGTACAACGACAGACTATGAATGACTTTCCAACACTCGAATCTTTCCCTGTGCCCCTTTGGCTACCCCGAGGAGGCGAGACCCGCCCATCATTAAGAAAGAATCGTATCACTCAAATCTTGGAACATACCGACCATTCGGTAATCAACTTCGGAAGATATTCATCTTATATTGGGCCTTAAAATATTTTGTGATAGATATTAGGTGGCTATTGAAAATTCCCCTATCATCCCGCCAAATATCCGAGACAATCTGACGAGTTCAAAATACAAAATCAAGTGATAGTTGTTAGCTCTTTACACTGAGGTTGTACAGACCGGATAGTTGCAGCGGGACGCGTTTTTACCTGCCAAGACTCGAAAAGTGTCAAATCATGAATGAACATCTACTGCCAAGAGTAGGATCGGTGCATACATACTTGGGTAGCTTTAGGGATTTGACATGTTTCCGTTCAGAGGTTTGAGCCACCCGAAAACTTCATTTATTTTGTTGATATTTGGACAATTTCACCGATAAAACATCCTTGCTGCAATGGAGAGAGACTACTTTCCGACTTCACTTCGACCAACAGAGTTGGAGCTTGATATCGACGGGAGTTGTTTATCGGCCCCTTTTTGAGATCACATTGAACAATTTAATATCTAATAAACCTAAGCACCAATGGAGATGATGCCAAGTGCATTATTCTATCCTTTAGACAATACGACAAGAGGTGGAATGACTTTCATCATTCACCACACAACTCATACATTTCGCTAAGATTAATACTGTATCTCAATACCTACCTTCTGTCACTGGCTCGGTTAATTTCACAGAGACTAGTATTGTCTTGCTTCTGATTGTACTTTTTAGTGGCAGTGTCTTTAAATACTCCTCATACTTCCAACTCTACATGGACTTTTCAATCCAGACCTTTCCAACAACTCTGTGTCTGTGAAACTTCCTTTCGATTCAATCATTTACAACTTCATTACCATCTTGATCTTTGCAGCTGGTCTCACGCTCTTTAAATCAACCCATTACATTCACCCTCCCAGTCAAACATTCAGCATGCAAACAAATACCTTGCTTCAGTTGGCTTTATGCCTTCTCACACTCAACATCAATCCTGTGTTGGCATTCTGGCGTCTACCATGTCAGAATCCAATTGTAGTCCAGAGATCTGATCCAGTTGTCTCTCCAGGAAGTGTCTCTGGTCATGTTCATACCATCATGGGGTAAGTTCAGTGCAACTCAACTTCTCTTCTTTCTTACAAATTTTATCTTGCTACATGATACTGACCCTCTTGACTTACAGTGGTAATGGCTTTGGTTTCTCTATGAATTATGCTTCTACCCAAGCATCAGCTTGCACTTCCTGTACTGTCACGAAGGCAAGTTTTCACAAAATATGGTGCAGATCTTCAACTGACCGAAGTACAGGATCTTTCCAATTACTGGACTCCAACTTTGTATTACAGAGCTCAAAATGGCAGTTTCATCTCTGTCGGCCAAAATGGTGGTGTTACAGTTTACTACTTGTATGCCTATCCTTCGATCCTCTTCTTTTCCTCTGTTGAATTATTGCTAATTCTGAATTCCTAGACAGCGAAGCGATCCATTAGATCCCGAGTATTCCAAAGGCTTATTGGCCTTCCCTGAAGGCTTCCGTATGGTTGCAGGAAATCCATTCCTTCGATCGTACAATGCAAGCTCTCTAGAGCAACAGGCCGTCACATATGTCTGTCTCGGTACTGATAAGCCTCAGACAAACGGATTCCCAAATTACCCATGTCCATACGGACTACGAACACAAGTCTTTTTCCCATCATGCTGGGATGGGAAGAATTTGGATTCTCCGGATCATAAATCTCATATGGCCTATCCTAGTCTTTCAGATAGTGGACATTGTCCTTCCACTCATCCAAAACGTTTAGTCTCTATTTTCTACGAGATTCTCTGGAATACTCCTGATTTTTCTGATAAAGTAAGTGCGTCAATTTTCTTGTTTTATATCAACATGCGAATGTGGACTTTTATTCCGCAATTAATACAACACAAATGAAGAATTTGATGTCTTTCTTTTACATATAAAACTTCGATGTTAACAATAAACTCTCTAGTGGTATGTCAATTCGCAACCATTCGTCTGGTCTATGGGAGACCCAACTGGCTATGGCTTTCACGGTGACTTTATCAATGGTTGGGATGTACCAACTTTACAAAGAGCCGTCAATGAATGCACCGATGAAAGTGGAGTCATAGAAAAATGCCCCGTCTTCAAACTCACTACCAACGAGGTAGCAAACGGTTGTCGAGTTCCTCCATCAGTTCACGAGCAAATTTCGGGTGTTTTGCCAAAGCTTCCCGGTTGCAATGAAGTCCAAAGCGGTCCTAGAAATGCCAGTCCACAAAGTGGATGTGGTGCTACTACCACGATTGGTACACCAATGTGGCCTTATACTGATGTTACGAAATCAAAGAGTTTCGCATATATGGGATGTGGTTTTGATACACCAGGTCAACCTCGAACTCTACAAGGGGATTCGCTTCAAGATAATACAGGCATGACGATTGAGAAGTGTATTGATTACTGCAACAGCAAAGGCTTTAGCATCGCCGGTTTGGAATATTCTACCCAATGCTTCTGCGATAATAAGATGCTTGCGGGTAGAGATCCAGTGCAAGGTCTTATAGGAGGCTGTACGATGCCTTGCTCTGGCAATGATAAACAAATTTGCGGAGATGCTGGTTTACTTTCACTTTACAAGAAGTGTCCAAATTCCAAGAATTGCGCCAATATCCAGTAAGTTTACGTATATACTTCACAAAAGCCTTTTACTAATCAGATAATTTAGGTACCCATTCAACATTGGACCCAAGAAGCGCAAGTCTGAAGAAAGACGCGAGAGACGTCAAAAACGCGATAGCGAGTATGTCTGCCCTTCAAAGAGTGTGCTGGCTTCTTCTTCTCATACCTCTGTGTCCCCTTATGCTTCTGGTTCTTCTATTTCTTCTTCCTTTTCCTCTGCCTCGTCTTCTGCATTCCCATCTACGAACTCACCGGCGTCTTTAACATCGCCAAGTTCAACACCAGCAATATCAAATTCAGGAAATATAATACTATCATCCCTGACTAACAAATCTCAAGCCTCAACCAAAGCATCTAGTGCATCGAGAACGGATCCCATAGGAACCTCTATTAAACCTCCCATCGAATCAACCTCGAAATCTTGCGACAAGGAAACTAAACCTTCATCTTTTTTTCATGCTTCCGGAATCAAATTCACCACTGTCATTACCACAACCACTACTTTCACAACCGTGACCGCAACAGCTTAGTCTTTCGATTTCTTCACTCGCAGATAGCCGTCTTTGCTCCAGGAGGAGATTTCTACAACTCAAAACCGGATTCAATCTCTCTCTGAGTTGCGTCGAAACTTCCTTCTTTACTTACTCATTCATTTCTGTCTCTTTTTTTCCTTTATTTGCTGGCGTAGATACGTTCCCTAGAAGGAAGAATCTACTGTAGTGGAAACACGACGTGGTGATATGAGTATCTCTGCAGAGGAGGATCGAGTTAGGATTTACTTTCTGGGTTTGCGGTTGTGCGTTTAGATATGGTTTTGGGTTAATTCCTTTGAAAACTTGCTTTAGGAATGAAGTTTTGAGTACTGATTTTTATTTCAAGTTAAAAGATAGTGAGTGATGAAGTATTTACCATATGGAGGGAAGAATGCTAGGTGTATTCTCATTGTATGGGAAGTCTTGCAAGAATCCTGTGCTGTGATGTGCTATATTTCTCGAACAAAGTATACAAGTTTTTATAAAAGTAATGAAAAGAGGTTGTGATCCAACATGAGATAGAAAGTATTAGTAGGGAACGAAGTTCAAACCACTTTGGATTTTCAGAAGCCCAATCAGTAGGAAGCACACTTATCATCAAAGAGCAACTGTTCAGCGCAAAGCTTGTGATCATTGAATTTTTCTTTTTGAACCTTTCTGAATACATTTGTATCTACGCACACTATGCTCACGGAGCCCCCTCCTTATAAACACAAATCATAGCATCGCCAACAACCACACCAATCTACAAACTCTTTTCTGCCTCCTCCAACTCCCCAATAACTCCCCTCCACTTCTCCCACTCTGCATCACCCCCAGGAATGCCCCCCATGAGCGGTAACCTCGTTCCATCCTTCTCTCCCATCCCCAATATCCTAGATACACATTCCTTAATACCCACCGTCCCATACTTCACCACAATCTCCTCCACACCACTCAACTTCCACTGCAACAATCCTCTCTCCTTCTTCTCTTCCGGCGTAACACTATCCTTAACACTCAATTCATATAGTCTCACCACACTCTTGGGAAAGAATCCTGCACTGCCATCAATAGTTCCCTTACAACCAATACTCATCACCGGCAACAATTGCTGACCCAATCCCGTAAAAGTATGGAAATGCGAATGGTCGATGTGAGGAGAAAGTGCGATTTGGGCATGGTATGAAATATCTCCGTGGGAGAGTTTGCAACCGACGATATTGGGGTGTGCAGCGAGTGTGGTAAAGGTTTGAGGAGTAACGCGCACAGAGTTCGAGACGCCGGGGTAATGGTATATCATTACTGGGATGGGACTTTGGTCTGCGACTGCTTTGAACCACTATTTTGCGCGAATGGTCAAATTAGCAATTGTTCACCTTGGTATAATTTCATCCGCAATGAACTTTCCGCATTCTCAAAATTGCGTCAGGAAAAACTCACCTCAATAATCCCCTCCTGAGTACTCGCCCCCGAGAAATACCCCGGTACGAGCACCAACCCCCATCCACTCCCCGCCCTCTTTGCCTCACCCAATTGTTCCACCACCTCCTGAATGTTTTGACTCGCCGTCCCGGCAACAATACCCACATCTCCAAATCCCTCTTTATCCAACGCATCTCTGCATCCTTTCAACACCGTATATCTCTCTGCATTCGAAAGATGTACTGCTTCCCCCGTACTACCCAGAACGACTAATCCCTTGATACCCGAACGAGCAAGATGGAGGGAATGCGCGGCTTGGGTTTCGGTATCGAGGGGTGAGGCGATTGAGGAGTAGGAGGGAGAAGAGCGGGGGAGAAAGAATGTAGGAACGGGGACGTAGACGCCGGGGGGTGGAGGTTGTGACATTTTGGAATGGGGTATTTGAATTGTGGGATTGAGAGCAGGAGATAAGGGTTTGAGATGATGATTTGAAGACTTTGAGTAGGAAACGTATGTTTTTATTGATCTGGTTGAATGTCGCAATGATTCCCGAGGTCCTCAAGGTATATTCATTCGGGGTATCAATGAACGAGGAACCCACTAGGGGTTTATTGACCCGAAGCGAGCTATGGCGGGGTAAAAGTTTACGAGACTAGACCATCGGCGGCGTCATTTATTAGTAGTTGGAATGGATAAATGAATGTGGAAATGAAACTGACACGAGGTCAGTTAATGTGGACGGAATGGAGCCTTTTGAGGTTCAAAATGTGAGCAGTAATTAGGTTGGAACAAGAAGGTGGATACGATACGATACATTCATTCATCGCACAATCCCCCTTTGTAGATTTTGTAAAGACAACGAATCGTTGAATATTGTTGTTCCTAAAATACCTAGACTTATCTGAAGAATAAAAACACAATCATCCCAACTATGGAATGATACTCGCTTGCTTAGTTAGACCTTTACCCCTGATGATACCTTTTGCTTCATCCTTCCTGAATTCAGAACCCGTCTCATACCTCTCCTCCAATCTTATACGCTTTAACTGCTGTACCACTCCAAATCATAATCTGACCCTCCTTACTTAGACTAGCCAAGTAGCAAAACCTCATAACCACGTCCCTCCATTTTCCCCAGGCATCCTCAACCCCAATTGTGCAAACTGGCCAGTCAGATCCAAACATTGTTCTGAAAGGACCGAATGTAGCAAGAACCACTGCTAAATATGGTTGTAGTGCCATGACAATTTCATCAACAGGGGCTTTCTTCAGAGAATCCGGCATCTCTGAGAAACATCCGCTGAGCTTCATGTATGTATTGCTGTATTTGCTGAGTTTGAACATGGCGGTGCGCCAGGCAAGGAAAGAGGGATCAGTTTGAGTGTTGTAGATTGAGAAGTCGGGTTTGCAGAGGTGATCTGTTTGAGGAATGCTGTTAGCATTGCTCGAATAGCGTAGCACAAAATTCAAATAATCAAACTCACTTATGATGACCGTAACTTTTTCTCCTTCCTCAACTCCATCATGAGCCTTCTCCATCATCTCGATCGCCTCCTCTAATTGCCATTTCCCCCCTGAATGTAAATCGACCCCTAAGTCAAACACAAAGCCCTTCTTTCCCAGCCACTTTAATCCCTCTATAAATCCTTCTGTAAGCATAGTCCCCTTCTCCTTATCCTGTACCAAATATCTGAATCCTTTCACCAACCCCCAGCTTCCTTCCGCCTCCCTCTCAACCTCCTTCACATATCTCTCCAATGCCTTCTCTCCACTCGGTACTGGCGCCCATGGTATAATCGCTTTACAAAGCTTTGCATGTTCCGCAGTATGTCCTTCTCCTTCACGAGGTTGACCTAATGCTATTCGTTTAAGCCAAGACACTTCTTTAAGTGGCATTTCCCATCCCGAACCATCTTCTTCCCCGCGTTTCAGATCATTCTTACGGTCTGTCTCGAGAAAGATAAAACCTTCTAGTGAAGAAACAGAAGCTGTAGCAGCTGTGTATTCATCGAGAGACTGTTGCTTGTATAAAGGATTTGATGGAGTATTCCAGGCAAGGGTGTCGAGCTCGCTTTCGGGGAAGAGGTGGATGTGGGAGTCGACAATTGGATATGAGATCGAGGGAGCAGAATCGGAATCCATTGTATTTTCGTGTAAAACTTCTGTATAGATTTCGTCTTAGTTCAAGTGGACAATGACAAAATCAGTTATGAGGCAGATCGTAATAAGTTCAGTGGTATGTTTAGGGGTTGGAGAAGATCATTAACGAACAATGCAGCATACAGCATAAAGCGAAGATAATAAAACCCCACATTATTGATTAGAGTTAGGTACTTACATGCTCAATTACCGCGAGATTGAGGATATATCCCTTTACCTTACTCTACAACTCTATTTCATATTGATGGCTCTTATAATTGAGAACCCTCGAGTTAAGTAGCTCTTGTTGATGAAGGCTGTTGAGGAGCGAGACATCAATTTGCTTGAGCAAAAATCCAGGGTCGTTGTTAGCGTTGTTTCCCCATTTCTCTAGTCTATCAAGCCCCTAATTTAACATCAACACATGACGAACGACATGATTCTCACACCAAACTCCAATTTCTCAAAGAAAATCCAGTTCAGACTTGACATCTCAATGCTTTTCAATGTCTCGATTTAGGTTTCACGATCGAATGGTCCTTCAGATTTAGTTTCTTAGGATGTTATGTTTTGGCGTGCAAGCTATTTCATTATGTTGTGACTTTGGGCATCGAATTGAGCCTCGCAAATACTCCTCACGACGAAAAGGGCATTTCTATCACGTCTGTACCTTCATATCTGCGAGTAGTCTCTCATATCGTCTTTGATGAATCTTGATTCCATACATTTCAGATTGTAAAAGACCACTTGCATGCACATTGGTAGTTCCTATTGCAATTCAAGCAGATGGCCCCGCAAATGAAATCCTGTTACGATGATGAGGTGTAGATCATCGTCGAGGTCCCCAAGCTAGGTGGCATTTCATTGATTATTGATGCATTATAGCTGACAATGTATCAATTGCATTCTATGATGGGGCTTAATTTTATTCATTGATATTTTGTTAGTAGTGCCATACAAGATACTCTGTGGATGCCCGCCCTCATGCCCTCATTATCGACCGACCTTCATCCCTCAACTGCCTCCTACCACCACACACGACAAATTGATGTATATCGAGAGATAGCTTAAGCAGCTGATTACCAGTCGGAGAGCAATCCTCTTTTGTGTTTGTGGATGAGGCCGAACGACGATTACTCCAGGAAATGCCATGACTGCTAGGACTGGCCCAAAGCCGTATGTCACATGCCGTTGTTTCTGTGTAGCAGCAGCATTACAAATCTTCCCAATGATACATATACTGAATCGAGGAGATCCAGAAGCCTTTTTTTCTCGAATTCAAAGGCAGAATCGAAGCTCAAGTAGTGCATGAAACAAGAAATGTCTGCTAAATGAGAATCTTCTGATCACCTGATCAACACTTCCAGTTGCCAATAATGTTTTTATCATATATTCTACTATATATCATTATTTCTTCTACTTATAGTTTCCTTCTACTTTATAGCGTTTTGCATTATAACTTATATGATCGGCAATAAACTCGCGGCAAAATCGTAAGACTTCGTCAGCTTTCCAGTTCCTTTCCTCTACCCCAGGATCCATATCTAATTTATAACCCCGCCATCGCCAGTCGCAGAAAGGCTCAATGGTATAAGGTGAAAGGCTTGAAATTATTTTGTGAAAGTGAAAATCTAATTAATCCCATTCTTCTTCACTAGTATAGCTAGGTGACATTAGGTAAATATTCTCACAAATCTCATGCACATATACAAGAGCTAGTCTTCTACACATCTTTCGAATGAAAATTTCTTTGTGCTATGATAGTAAATGTTACAACATTGTTTCGAAACGAAATGTAGTGAGGTCTTGACAATTTATAAAGGTTCACTATGCGGTAACAACAATCAAAAGGCATTATTCTAGCCACTAGTGGTAGTGTGGTTAAGGAGTAAAGAGTAAGTAGATTATGAATGCTAGTATTTAACTAATCCCATGCACATCCCACAACCAAAGCAGATACATCCCGAGATGAGATCGAATCATCCAAATCTCATTGTCCCATCCAGGGAAATATTTTGCTCTACCTATGCTTTCCTTCGCAACTCCTTCCCAGTCAAGACTCCTCGTGTTGCTTGCCCAAAACTAGTTACCAACTATTGACGCCGAAACATCCATCGTCGTATAATACTGCAAAGCGTGTTACTTCTCGTTGGAATTGGATGCATTAAGTGCCGCTCTATCGAGGCTGGGTGCAATGATTCCAGCATGTTTGAGCCCGAATTTCACACATATTGACTATTCACCAAATAAATCATTATAAGAATCCAATATTGAAGACAAATGAATGAAAAAATCTATGCCCATCAATACGCCAACGCCGATCAGGATATTTACACCGTGGCTCGCACAAGATTCAAAGTGGTTGTCGACGTCTGCAAGAATCATCAGAATACACCCCACGAACATGAATACAAGCATGAATGCCTATTGCACCAAAAAAAAGAATAATAGAGAATTTTTTGATGGCTTGTTCGTTTTCCTTGGGTGAATGAATTATGAGAGAAGCAGCCATTTCGATGCTACGGGGCATCAAAAGACTCCTAAACAACCTTAGAGTGCTTTTGCGACAGGTGTCGCCCAAAAGAGTTCTGCGGCGAATTTTACGAGCGTTTTGGCTAGTTATCCTACCAGCTAGTGGAGCATCTGGTCATCGCTGAGAGTGCGAGAATATGCCAAGGTGTAGTAGGCGTAGGTGAATGCTGCTGGGAAGAGAACGGCTATGGGGAATCTCAAAAATCTGAGAAATCCGGTATTGGACTTCTTGAGGAAGTTGTGGATGATAGCGGTGGTGCGGTGGTGGCAATGGTAGCTAGCATTTCAAATGCCTACATGATTCTCATGCTCGGTTCCATGATGACTTTATTGGGTGGTTAAGGCTGACAGGTTTGTTGTGCTGAGCTTTGCTGAATTCTCTCGGGGTTTTCGAAAGTTGGATGTGTGAATCTAATTAGACAAGTTGGATGTGGTCTTCTGGGTACAGAAGTTCGATGTAGGGTTTGAATAGACAAGTTGGATGTAGTGTACTGTAAAGTTGATAACCAAAAATCGTTCATGTCTAGTGTCCTTTGAAGTAGTCCGAGTGTCAGAGAAACTCTTTAGAAACCTATCTCCCACTGCAGTGAATTGGAAATATATATTCGCCCCCCTAATTCACTCTGTCCTTTTCAAGAACTTGTCACTACCTAGTATCTTTGATATTGGGTTGGTCCATCTGGGGTTTGACCACTGACATTTGCTTTGTCTTTCATGGGTCAGGAGGGAATCATACTTGTTACCTTCGATTCATTCCTATTAGCAGATTCACTCTCACTAGCAAGCCGAGTTCGGTACGGCTGCGAGAAACTTGGTATGGCAGTACTATTGATATTCAGGCGAAACTACTTTCACCATTAAGTGTGAACGAGATGGAATGATTAATGAATCTAGATACTCATCACATAAATACTTCCATATCATTAGAGAAGCTGTACTTCACAAACGTGATCATCTGGAATCACGGAGCTAGATCCATAGGATTAGAAACGTCGGCAATAAAACTCGTGCTATACAGGCCAGTATAAAAGAATACTATAACGTCAGAGGAAATGAGGCTCGTTCGATATTCGGCGGTGTCGACTCTTGAATACTAGCAAGCTGCATCTGATTGGCACGAACCACGAAATAAGGTTAACATAAGGTTAAATTTCAAGTTCTTAACGCCTGATTATCCATATGATATGGGACCTCGAGATAGAGACGTCTACTTTACCCATCTATAATATACTTCTCTTAAACGAGGTTTCCAGGGCTCTTTTTAGACGTTAAATAGAGGAGGGGTGGAGTAGGTATATTTTAGGTACTGAGGGATTGACGTTTCTGTTTTTCTATCAATCGCCACCTTCAGATGCACCCATATGCAGCACGAAACACTCTGAATACACTTACATCCAATATAACCTCCAGGCTAGATTCCAGAGCCCAGCGAGGCACGAAGAGAGAGGTCAAGGAGCCAAAATTGGACAAAGAGCTGCACATAGTTGTGTATTATGAATTGGGAGATCCCATCGTCTTGGTTTCAATGACGTCGACAAGATCACTTGAGTGCGGCGGCTAAATAAAGGTACACTGTATACGCCTGCGTTGTCCAATTTATAACCCGGATCTTCAATTGAATTCTACTGTTTGATTGATAACTACAGACATGAGACGATCAAGTATTTCTAAAATAGAGAGAGAGCGAGACACGCTGGAGATGTCGCGGATATAGATGGAAATCGGGATCAATTGAGAGGCAGCTATAAAGCTGATATAAGCGAGTGCTGCTTGTGCCAAGTTTGATAGATTTGTATTTGTATGTTCGGAATGATAGGGATAACTTTAATCCCGGTAATTTTGTTCAGAAGATGGTGAACGAGAAATGAAGTGTTTGAAGAAAGGCAAATATTGTGAGCAAAAAAAGACTGTCTGATCACGTGGTGTTCTATTACTTTTGTTCCTAGGGGGTGTTTACAGACGTTCTGTTTATGATTTAAAATCAACCATTCATATTCCACTTCGTTGTTTGATCAATGTGTTTGTTGCGTGTGAGCTTTCACAGCCTTTTTCCCCTCCCTTACCTCAAGACGCTACACGCCTCTTTGTTTCGTTTTGCATGCTGTATGTAGTCTTTTAGACTCTGTCTACGATATGCGAAAGATTGCCATATAACCTCACCACTGTCTGACCGCTTTAAATATAAACCCACTGAACATTCAGACTCATATTACCGGGGCGTACTAAGGTCCGAGAACATTAGTGGCTTGCTTCAGGGAATATTTTAGTTCCTTGAGATGTTTCAAGATGGTAATTTCCATACGTCCAATTACAGCAAGAATAGTATGGGGATGTTGCAGCCAGCTCTGTACTTGAAGCAATCAAACCCAGACGAAGACATCAAATCAAGTGACGACGACGTTCTGAACATACAGATCAGCTATTAAGAACAGTCTGCCATCCTAAGTAGCTAGATTGTGTTGTCTGAATAGGTTTTCAGACTCGGTCCGCTAATACTTTAAAGCATCATGCCCTCAGTGGCATCACAGGGCCATAGACATTGAGACATGCCCATTGCCCATTTTTGTTCTCGACTAGTTCTCGTTGATCCATGCCGTGTTCGGATCTCCCAATTTGTCAAAGAGGGAGAGTCTTGAACGAGGACGGAATGCGGAGTACCCCAGATCATCTCGATCAGCAACTTTTCCTTCCTGGTCTTTAGCTCAAGGAGATCCACTAAACGGTAGGTACATTTGTCACTAGTACAAGTTCCTCTGGAGACCAGCATACCTTTACTGAAGGTAGGTGTGCATCCAGCAGCCTCGTTGAACCCACCGGAATCTATGACACCAATCTTCCCCAATGAATTTGAAGTTTGCCGTCCTTGCCGAGTGTAGATATCATCACATTTCATCTCAACTCGAAAGGAAATGAGACTGCTCTTCAAAATTTAGCAGTCCCGCAATAGCCCACCAGAGCACTGCGAGGGGTAAAAACCTGGGGATGGTTCGTTGGTTCAAGGATGCTTCAAATTCTGCGTTACATTTCAATACTGACTCGTATTTGCCAGCTCCACTGATTGTTCTGCAAGTCGCCGTGTCAGGTAATTGATTTCATGGGTTCGAGGGTTTCCCCAGATAATCTGATCCTGGCCGGTTGGAAATTTGTGGAGAAGTTTGGTGAGGACGATTGAAAAGTAAATCACAACTATTGAACTTTCTTAAGTTGAGATTCAAAGAGAGTGTGTTGTTTGGTAGTAGATGAAACCTTAGGCATTTGCCGTAAACCGAATGGAGAATAGTGGCTCCTCGGCAGTTCATTGGTCGTTTTCCTTAAATTCACGTAGCTTCAGTTGTTCTCGTTTGACATCAGACTGACGCGGTTTTTGCGTTATTTTCGATGTTCTATCGTCACCTGGGATTCCCCTGATGGATGCATGTTAACGAAAATAGGTGACACGGAAAGCTGACAACAACTGACACCCTTTTTAGCATCAATGTGTGCATGTGAAATATGAATACGTGAGCACGAAGTACATGCCGCAGGACTCATTGATCCCTGAGAATTTAATGTGAGTGACTCATCATGTATGATGATGCTGCTGATGTTGAAATATTGACAAGTACCTACCTCTCTTGAAATTTCAAATGCATATGCAATGCAGGTTCTAGGAATATTGGGCCCTCAAAAGCCCGCTTTCTTCCCATTGTGTCTCAACGTGGGAGTGATTTGGTGGGCCCAAAAGCACCGTTCACATGTCAAACCATGGAGTATAGTTTCAAAAAAACAATGGGGAAGGGGGGAAATGTGAGAGAAAGTGTTCATAAACAAGAAATTAAAGCAACTTGCTTGTGTAACTCGTGAAAGCATAAGCCGCAATAACTTTTGGTAAATTCATCTACGATGTAGAGATACTTCCTTGGCAGAATGCCCCAACTAATCAAAACATCCTCAGGGAACGGCGTTTTTTTTTTCGGCCAAATGTGATAATTAGGAAACGGTTTCGAATGGTTCATTTGGATTGGAGGATTTCTCATGAATGTGAGAAATGTTTGTGATCTGAAGGCATTCCTTATCAATATCGATGTACTTAATCGACACAAAGGCTATTTCATCCCTTTTCACTGGCCAAATAGACGAGTGCGTATGTAAGCGCTCACCGATAAAGCTTAGCTTGAGGCTGGTGAGATGTTGGTTGGTTGGATTAGATGGAAAATACTGTGTTTTCTTTCCGTATTTACGTATCCACTTCCTTTGCAAGAGCGCAAGAGACGATAAAAACCAATGATCGAGTCTAAGAATTTGGCTTTCACGGACAAATCCCATGGTGAAAAAGGCACGAGTCACGACTTAGAAAACGTACTTCTTTTTCCGTACAGAGCACAAACTTTAGGACTCTCTACTCTCCAATGCGCAGCTGCATGTTATGTTTCAGTACCACCTACTCATTCTACCCAAACCAGGGGCGCATCGATTCCCCTTCCGAAGGATTCATCAAAAGAGATTATAGATCTGTTTCAATAGCGCCAATCGATCTGATAACGATACACATTTTCTGTAGCGGTAACCGATTGGATCTTTTTCCTCCCCCCCCCCCCCCCCAAAAAAATTAACATGCTCAACCGCCACGAGTCGATTCCAACTTAACGATTCATGACCGATGATGCGAGCATCTCGGCCTCATCCATGGACAATGGCTGTGTTAGGTAGGTGGCCGTGCAAATGAATTGTCTCCATCGTCGTTCGTTGCCTTTCAAAGCCTTGGAAACAGGTACGTACGAAGTTACGAAATAGAGTGGATTGTCTGAATGGCATCAATTTCCCTGCAATTAGAAACGATTTGATAATGATCGTTACCTCTGGCAGAGATCGAATCTGACTGTACAAGTATACGAAGTACGCTCTCATCGGCACAAGTTACATAGCAAGTTTCTTCCTTTCTCAATTTTTTTACGTGGTTAAGTGGAACTCTTAAGGGCGCCTAGACAAAAATAATGTTATCTCCCCACCCGTTCCATCTTCCATTCATCGAGCCATCCCACCAACTCATCCCTTCCACGCCATCTAAAATTGGGTTTAGTGGAACTGAGTATGCAGAACTGCGTCATAATTATCACCCCTAGATCCAAGACTTTCTCTTATCAGCAAAATATGTTGATGAAACGTATTCGGGTTAGCTCTTAACCAAACAAGTTAACAACATCAACTATTAAGCAGTCAAAGTTTCGGTCCATGTAACAATCGACGGTAAAAGTCGGAAGCATTTTCACAAGGATATCAAGGCAAAGGCAAAGGCAAATGCATTCCTGTACAAGAGTGTAAACCACCGAGCCGATCTTTCTAGGACGGGAACCGGTTGATTTGAAAGAGATCAAACCCCCCCCTAGACACCCGAGCACCCTATGCAATACCATGGTGCCTTATTATTCGACAACTTCAGATATATACAGGGTCTACAGCAGTGGGGGCGAATCTTGCGTACCTCAATACTTAGGGGGGTCCACACAATGAAATCCCGATCAATATTGACCAGGTAACAAGCATGAAGGCAGGCTCGCAGGCACGATGGAGCAAGATGTTGGTCGATGTCATACTAACAGAAAGCGGTTTCACCAATTCATCATGTTCAGCTTTTTTCCCATGATGAAGTTGACAATCATCATCATTGAAGAGATATTCAAGGCTAAAAGATACTCCACTTAGTCTAAGGCCCGAACATACTTAGAGAGTAGTTTCCTCTCTAGTCCAGAGACGGACCTACTTTATTTGAATCAAGACATTTGCCTTTCTGCTTCTTTTAAACTTAAAGATTCCCCCCCTCTTAAAATTCGGGTGATCACTATCAACTTATCTCTCAACTTGTTTTCTATATTCTTGATATCTCTTGTCTAGGATCGTTCAATTCTCCGGTCGCGTCAACCGTTTAACACTTCAAGGCGTACGTTTATTGAATAAGATTTACGCGCATCTTACCTGACAATCATAACCTTTCCTGGTCAAACGTTTCAGACCGGCATAGCATATTCGACCCACAGAATCATTGCTCCTACGCAAATAAGAGAAGCGCGCGCAGTTAACCGCAGCTTCTTAATCCAAACAACCAACGGGCGAAGCAATTCCCGTTACCCGAAAGTCAATCGCTGACTGTTTCTCCCAACTTACTCCAATTTTGTACTACGCTTAGATCTACTTAAAATGGCGCCTTCTTCCACCCTCAAACCTTCTGCAGCTGCCAGACCCAGACCTGGTATTCGCAGACTTTCAAGTATGACTACCAACGTAGTAGAAGTTTCGACCGGCGGACCGGTCGTCGTCGTTCCAGAAAGATCAATGAGACAACCTTTATCTCGAGCAACTTCATACCAAGGAGGAAACTTTGCAGCTTCGTTGGAAAATGCTAGAAACGAACTCAGTGCTCTCAACCTTGAGGAGGAGGAATCGTCGTCAAGTTCTCCAGATTCACCAGCAACTCCACTCACCCCTGCTGATGTTCCCACCACTGATTCTTTTGCTTACGCCTTCGATATCGATGGCGTTCTCATTCGTGGGGGCAAACCAATTCCAGAAGCTATTGAAGCTATGAGAATGTTGAATGGAGAGAACGAATACGGTATCAGAATGTATGTTGCTTGTCATGATTAATATGAAGAAACCCTTGCTAACACGTCTTCAGCCCATACATATTCTTGACAAATGGAGGCGGAAAGACTGAAGCAGAACGATGCATTGATCTTTCAAGACAATTAGACATCGAAGTGTCGCCTTCACAATTCATTTGTGGTATGTACCAACACCAGAGATCTTGATTGAAAGATCGAATAAATTCACTTGCGACTTAAATGCTAATTCTCCCCAGGTCACACACCTATGAGAGAAATGGTTGAAAAATACGAAACTGTTCTTGTAATTGGAGGTGAGGGTGAAAAGTGCAGACAGGTTGCCGAAGGTTACGGATTCCGTGATGTTATCACTCCAGGTGATATCATTAAAGACAACGAGCATACTACTCCATTCCGCAAACTCACTACCGAAGAATTGAAAAATTCACGTGGTGGTCGCGATTATAGCAAAACTAAAATCGAAGCTATATTCGTCTTCGCCGATAGTCGTGACTGGGCTAGCGACGTTCAAATTATGCTTGATCTTGCCATGTCTAAGGGAGGATATATTGGTACCCTATCCGAAACCTTTGATGAAGGGCCACCAATCTACTTCTCCCATAGCGATATTGTCTGGTCAGCTGCTCACGAAAACGTCCGTCTCGGTATGGGCGCTTTACGGAAAATGACCGAAATGCTTTTCACAGACCTCACCAAAGGCAAAGAGCTAGAAACCATTGCTTTCGGAAAGCCTCAAATTGGAACCTTTGAATTTGCTACCAGACTGTTGCAGCAATGGCGTAAGGACGAACATCGCTGCAACCGTCCTCCCGAGACTGTTTACTTCGTCGGCGATACCCCAGAATCTGATATCAGAGGTACCAATCAATTCAACGAGAAGTCTAAGAATGATTGGTATTCTATCTTGGTACGAACCGGAGTTTACCAAGAAGGGACTGAGCCAGCATACAAACCTAGGGTGATCGTGGACACCGTACTGGATGCGGTTAAACATGGAATTGAAAGGGAGTTTAAGAAGAAGATGAAGGAGAACAACCCAAGAGGATTGCCGCTCAATAGCTTGGGCGGATTGAGCCTCGATGGAAAGTCAATGATGGAAGGCATACCACCTAAGATTATGGAGGTGCCCAGTCAAGGTGTTAGCGAGACAGCTACTCCCGAGGCTACCGATTAGATTTGCATTCATTGCCTGCGATTGATCTATACCTACACTCATTGTGCAAAAAAAAAAGTCTTCTTGGGTTATTTCTACTGGTGTTATGATGGAACATAATATTTTGATGGATGGATTAAATGGGACTTGGATTGATGGAGTCTTGGACCAATTGGGGAGGGCGTTCAATGAGACCACAGTATTCTGAAAGCGATACACAAATTTTCCTTGAGAATTGCAGGAGCGAAGTATATAAAAGGGGCGGATGAAAGATGAGTATAAATGATAGAATTTCGATGAACAGCGAGATTAGTTAATTAATACCATTATTCTTGCAAAGTTCTTTGCTCTAATACAGTCCCAAATTCTCATTCCATTAATCAAATTCCATTGACGAATATAAAGGTACAGAGAGCTTCCCATACTCTTGCTCGGAAGCAAGATGAAAGTTCATCAACGAAAAGAGATAATGTAGAAGTTGAGACTTCCGCTAGAACGAGAAGTACTCAACATTTGTTAATGTATCCAATGGTTTGAATTGAGGCCAAGGGCCTATTACGCTATACTGAGACCCCACTGGTGGACTAGCGCTAATAAACCCCCGATGAATTAGGGTCATGGGCAATATTCACCATTCACAAACTAACACGAACTAAAACCTAACCCTTCAGAAAGGTAAAGATTCGCCGAAACCAACCCAATTATTTCATAGAGTCTTTCATAGCTCATTCTTGACCAAATCCGCACATTTCTCTGCCACCATGACAGCAGGTGCTTGCAAGTGTCCCGATACAATTTGCGGGAAAATACTCGTACCGCAAACTCTCAAGCTTTTCACACCATAGACTTTCAATTCGTCATCGACTACTCCCGGGGCTTTAGAATCATGTTCGGGTGCCATTTTACATGTAGATGCATAGTGAAAAGTTCTTATTCGGCGACGGGTGAATTTATCCATCTTCTCTGTAGTATTGCTTTTCACATCAAGCTCTTGTCTTTCTACAGGAAAAGTAATGTTTCGAAGAAGAGGGAAACCAGACGCTTTCATTTTATCTGTGATGGAAAGTGTGAGTCGAATGGCGCTGCGAGCAATGATATAATCCGAGGGGTCGGACAAGATTCCAAAATCAACTTTCGGCTTGTCGTGTGGATTTGACGACGCCAAGCGGACCGTTCTAGAGGATTTCGGCTGAATAATCGTGGCTAGAACACAAATTATGGGGGTTTTAGAAAATATGTTTATGAATTCCGGCTCGTCAAAATTATCCATTCCGCTTGTGGAAAGTGGCATGAGCTCAATGTCGGGGATGAGACTTTGAGGATCAGGAGATTTAGTTGAAGCTTCTTTGATAAGTCCAGTACTATCTTCTTTGATCATTCGAGAGCGGACATAGAGAGCTAAGGTCTGAACGGGAATACTCAAGAGACCGATTCGGAGGAAGATGTATTCGAAAAGTTCCCGTGCGATTTTAAGGGGCTGGTTGCCATGGAAGTTAGTGATTCGACTGCTGATATCTCCCAAGCGAATGGGATACTATGGTGATCTGTCTGTACCAGAGTAGGTTGATTAGTTAGTATACACTATTGATGAGAATGACCCGAAGCATACCAACGTAGATCCAACCCCCGGTAGGCCATGCACTACTTTGATACCATATTCCACTAAACTCTTACGAGGCCCAATACCACTACGGGATTGGCACGTTAGTTCTTTCTTTCTTTCTTTCTTTCTTTCTCATGTTCTTCTTCATGCATCATTAAACCGAGGGAAAGAAGGAAACACACCTGAGCATAAGCGCTTGCGGTGAGCCTATCGCACCGGAGCACACAATGACTTCTTTGTTAACCTTTACTGAATGCGAGTTTTCAGAAGTTCAATCCGAGGATTTAAAGAGTACCTTTTCAGTACGCGGAATCCCCTTCTCTTCCGTAAATACAACACGAGAGACAAGAGTATTGGTGCAAACCTTAAAATTCGTCTTTCCGACGCAATCTTCTTGGGAAGAAACGCTTCAAAACTGGATACACGCTCTCTGCGCTTACTGAGAGTAAGAGAGAGTGTTGCGATTCCTTCGGGGGGGAGCATCCGGAGCATTGCAATCTGGGACGGCAATGGACCCCATCGCTTCGGCACAATTAGTGAAACTACGGAAAGTCAGAAGTGAGATCATGATCAAATGGTTCAAGGAAGCTGACGCTCGGTAGGCTTGGAATAGCTAGTTGAAGTAAGTGAAGTTTGGGTAATCCATGGTCCTATAGAATGCATATTTCAGTGCTGGAGGAGGGAAAATAGTGTATGTGAATTCAATCACCCGTGTTTCCATGATAACTTGAGTCCTGATAGTCAAGGGAAGTCTCGCTATTAACAAATTAGGGCAGTAATTTCTCATAGCTCCACTCAGAATGGCCCAAAGCTGCCCATGCATAATAGTCGGCAGCCGTCCCGCGTGTATAAATGATACTATTAGTTCTGGAAGTAACCGCCCCAAAACGTCTCCGCTAATTACTTCTCTGGCGATCATCACAATATTTCATGGGTTCGGATTTCCACCTCGTAGCACCGAAGGTTGGACGAGTCGGATCGGAAGAGATAAGAGGATTGCGGGATAGCCATGTGTCATTTGCGGGACCGCATTCGAGGACAAGAACGGAGATACTGGGATCTTCGCTCAGTCGAGATGCTAATGTACACCCCGCGGTGCCCCTGAGATGACCGCAGATGTTGGACAGGGGATTTTTAATGAGTTGAGAAATTAAGAGAATAGTGGATATGACGCACCGCCAATTATGACAAAATCATATGTTTTGGAATCAATCTGTGCCGGTTGGGATTCTGGGTAATTTTTGCCTAATGGCCACCACATGTTGATGAGCGGGAGAGATTCGGAATTGCTGGAGATCTGCTGTAAGAAAAGCAAGAATACTTGGTAAAAGGATCTTGCAGATCAAAAGATCGTTCAAATGGTAGGTTAATTTTTGACTTATTGATGTAAAACAGATGCATAGGTAGCTTAAATCGGCTAAATGAGCAAGCAATGCAGCTACGTATCTCCTCCCAACAATTTCAAAAAAAAATGTACATATAACGTAGAGATGTGACGATGTCGGTTATGCAGAGTTGGGACTCGTTATTTAATATTTCTATTCAATACCTAGGTTTTTGTAGGATGTGCAGATTGCGGCACATGTTTTCCATGGCGTGTTGGTTCCTTGTCTCTTTCAATAATTGTTGAAGTCGAATAGGGTGCCTGGATAAACAGTTCGTCTTCTAGAAAACATCATGTCTATATATGATATATACAGCTACTTATCAACTATCAGAAATATATTCAATACATTAATCGAAATAAATAATACCGGACCCTATTTTATATCCAGTATATCAATCGAGAACAAAATCAACTGAAACTCTTGAACATTACAATATATCTGAGTGAAGTCGAGTATTGTGATGCATAATAGGAAATCCGACTATCCTACCTACTTCCAGGAGGTGTATCAAATAATATCTCTTTTGAAGCATTTTCATGTATCTTAAGGGTTCGATTCAGGAGTTCGCACGAAGTTACCGGAGACAGCAGCACGAACCCAGTTCTCTTATCATATTCTATTTATTGAGAGGTGATATAACTATAGGCAGCCCTACCAAAGCGAATGTTTGGACAGTAGCAAGATATTCTTGAGGCTCGCTGATTTTCTCTGGATTCTCTGTCGGAAGGAGAGAATATTGAGAAATCGATCAAGATCTGCCTGTACCTGCTTTCTTGAATGCTAGCATAAGACTATAGTCTGCGGGATGTCCTGTAAAATCTTCCACTTGCTCTATCTTCGTCTCCGGCACTACTACACTCTGAATTCTTTGAAAACTGCTACGATGACCGCTTTCATCACTACCTTCTTGTCAGCAACTTTTCACAAGTCTCGATAATAAACCCCTCCACTTTAGGATATTTCCCTTACTACGAATAGCAAAATGGTTCCCAATACACATTCTTCCTCCACTACCAAAAGCCCAGTGCCATCGTAGCATTTGTTTTTTTTGCCTCTGGAGACGCATCCAACCACCTATCTGGATTCCACTTCAGAGGATCGGGGAATTCGTCCGAGTTTCTGTGTAAAGTATATGCAGATACACTGACAGTAACACTGCCCGGTATAGAGTATTTTCCAATCATAGCGCCCTTTTCCGGAACTTGACGAGTAAATGCTCCTAGACCAGCAGGATAGAGTCTTAGTGTCTTCATAAGTATAGTATTTAGTAATGGTAAAGAATCGATTTGTTGCGAAGGCGTCGTGTCCAGATTTACAGAAAGTAGTTCCTTCTGGAGACGCGAGATGAAAGATGTATGACGAGCGAGCTCGGTCATCAAATAGCTTACCGTGATCGATAATCCTTCATATGAAGCTGCGATATGATCTAGCATTTCTGCAGCAACCACTGTGTATATTTGCTCTGCAGAAACTGTTTCCGAAGTCTCAAGCTTTTGGCGTAGTTGTCCATAGACAGTTGGATACGAGTCTATCTCGTTAGCGTCTTCAGATTGAAGAGTGTCTCGTGCTCGGTTGGCCATTGAGAGAACGAAGTCTTCCATCACTTGGGAAGCAGAAGCTATTCCTTCATCCAACGGACTCATGCCAAAACAACCCATCCACTTCGTAAGATTAGGAACATCGAGTCTCCAGAATAGCCCACCAAGACTTAGCTCAAAATTCCGTAGAACCAATTTCTTGTCAGGACCATCCATAAAGCTCGAGCTGTTTTTGAGACCGAACAAGTATGCGCTCGTAAGATCCATAAATAGTGCTTTGTTTTCTTGATGTATATCCACTGGTGTGCCTGTTTCCGCCCAAACACGCATCCGAGGAATAATCTGTTGTAGGTGATATTCCTCAAGATCTCTGTCAAGGCCTCGGACGCCTGGACAAAAGAATTGGAGTAGACATGAGATAACTTGTGTTTGCGTTCAGTATGTACTGGTGCCCCCTTCATAGAAAACAAAACGCTATGGCTGAACATGGACATAAGTCAAAAGAATATTCAAAAGCAAAGCATTAAGAAGGATATCATTACATACCCATAATTCAAGAAAATCGAATACCATTCATTCCCCTTTCTCGAATCCACCACCATAAACCGTTTTAACGCCATCTTCAAGACAGTTGATACTTGACTCTCTTGATCCAATTCTAATAACAGTACCGTACTTTTTATGAGCAGCATATCGAGCTTTATGCTCAGTGTCATTTGCTCGATGCCAAAATAACCATAATTTTGAATATGGCGTCGTGAAATTTGCATTGGGGATTTGATATAAAGGTAAGAGGACAGCGGTTTGCAGATGCTTGATGAGCCATATACATGATGCTATAGTTACAAATGTAAAGCTATGAGTGGGAACATAATGTATTTGTAACTTATATTTGAGCAATAATAAATTGCTTAACTCACGGTTCACAGAACCAGACGGGAAACATTTGAGATGGAGAGGGGTTTAAAAAACTATATGCTTCACAATAAATCTGGCATCTGGCAGCATGCAATGACACTTTTTTGTAGGTCTGCCGTTCTGGCACTTCACTGCGCTGGTTTATCAATTGGCAAATCACAGAACGAGTGATCCATCATCCTATTGTAACACAGCTGTAAACTGTCGGTCATCTCCCGTGATGAATGGGGTTCTTATTGACTCACTATGCATCAATCACCAACGGGGAAATCATGATGCTCGATGGAGGCATGAAGATCCGCGCTGTCCTTTTTTTCCACGATCAGATGCAGATGTCTTCAGCCACAATGCACTTTTATGTAACCATGAATTGTAAATTTCGTGGCAGCCAATCAAAACGCCGATATAAATCAAACTGGATGTTGCATTATGGCATGGCGGAGAGAAAATTCATTATAACCAAACAGAAATTTTTACATTGGTGATTGAGATTCAATTATTAACTTTTAGCTAGAAGCTTTATTTACAAAGTTTTCCAAACTTTGAATTGTTCAAATGAGCGGAGATTTTCAGGTAAAAGCGTTCGAACCATCCAAGCAGATTGAGGTCGTTTAAGCCCTCCAATGTTTTTGAATGATCTAACTTGTTCAAAAGGTTTGACTCATTTGAACCATTGAATGATACGGATACACTAAGATATCTCAATCAAGCGTTCTTTTCAATACTGTCGCCTCTGTCTCTAGCCCTCATAGTCGAGGCAGGACTGTAATGATGATTGTTATCCTGGGCCAGGTTCTCATAAAGTTTCGGCCTCTCAACATCCATTCTTAAAACATGTCGCCTGATGGGGTAAGTAAATTGACTCCATCCATATGCGGCGTGCTTTCTCGTAGGAACGTTGAAAACTTGGTCCAATTCTTCCAAGGTTTTATTTTTAGTCTCTGGGACGAAGAGGAGGGTAAGAAAGAAGCCAACAACGTTGAAACCGGCGTAGAAAGAGAAAGCGCCTTGGGCCTTAAAGGCTCTAAGCATTGATGGCCATGTAATGGCGAGGACAAAGTTGAAGAACCAAGTGGTTGCAGTTGCCAAGGACATTCCTAGTGAACGAACATGGAGAGGGTAGGCCTAAAAATTTGTTAGGGTTAGGCTATTTATACACAGCAAAGCAACTTTCTCACCTCTGCAGAGTATGTAAATGGAACAGGCCCGGCTCCCGGGCTGTAAGCCAAACAAAAGAGATAGATGCCTAGAGCTACGATGGCAATGCGAGTAGTTCCCTCTGGAATCAGGAAGCTCCAGCCGGTCATGAACAGGAAGACTGACATAAGCGGGAAGGTAAATAGTAGAAGCCATCTCCGACCGAACTTGTCGATTGTCCAAATTGCAGGAAGCGCACCGAGGAAGTTAAGCAGGCCGAAACCTAAGGACGCACATAGAGCACTGACTTCCGAAAAGCCAGCGTCAACGAAAATTACGGATGAATAATAGGCGATCACGTTGATGCCACAGAACTAATACGTATGTCAGCTATCATATTCAATGTCTTGTTGATGTGGAGGGCGGCAAAAATTGGAAGTAGGGAAAGAGATATGCATCTCCCCTTTTCATCAAAATGAGCTAACCGAGGTTTCGTGTTTCCAGCAATTGAAGCTGGGCATATAACTTACCTGCTGCATAAACATTGTGATCTCTGACGCAAACATTGCTCTTCTAATCCGAGGCACTGTGAACAATTGCTTGATATGACTTTGTCCGGAACCCATGTTATTCTCAGCTTCGAGAAGCATGTGCATCTGGAACACATCACGTGCCGCCTGGACCTTAGTGTGTCTGATTCTGCACATTGCTTGATATGCTTCTTCGTGTCTCCCTTTACTCATGTACCAGCGAGGCGATTCGGGGCAATAGAAAACAAAGAAACAAACGAAGAGAGCAGGAACTCCGGCAGATCCCATCATTAGTCTCCAATTAAGTCCATGGATATTAGGTGCCGTATCTGTAACATAGTAGAAGGCTAGATCAAAAGCAAAACCTAACATAATACCAAAAGCAGTAAATACCTGCCATTGCATTGCCATGGCGCCACGGATTGATGCTGGAGAGGTCTCACAAGCATATACGGGTACAGTGGCCGACCTAGGTAACGTTAGAATCGATATTAGAGATGGCTAGGAAGATATTCAATAGTGATGAGGGCCCTTTGCTTGCTGATATCATAAAAGGCAAGATAGGTAACTATACGTACTTTGCACCTAAACCTATTCCGAGCATGAACCTAGTATCAAATATTAGAGATTGTCAAATTTTTCATAGAATTTAGGGGTTTCTCTTAAATACCTAGCAATAAACATGTGCCACCAGGTGTTGGTGAATGCCTGCCAGAAGCAGGTCAGTGCGGAGACCAAACAAGTGACGAAGATGGTGCCTCTACGCCCCCACTGTGAAGAGTCAGTATTGCCTATCGAAGAAAGTTTTGATGGAAAAGAGGATGAAGAAGAAAAGGAACTGCACTTAGCAATGAAAGGAGTGTAAATGACTTACCCAATTGTTAAATGGAACAGTCAGCCAGCAGCCAGCAATTGCACAACCAAGATATCTTTGAAAGTCTGAAGTTAGCGATGGCTTCGGCGGCTATAGTAAGGGCTAGAACTTCGAAGGGAATTTAGGAATTGAATACATACGGGGCACCATTTGTGATACCTAATAGCCATGGGTCCAAAGAACTATTTTCATCATCGATTCCAAATAAACGAGCGTAGAAGATCTGCGCTCCATTTACGACACTCTCATCTACACCTTGAACGGCTGCGCAAACCGAACAAAGCAAAATGACTTTGATGAAAAGCGATGGCAGAGACCATTTACTTGTCCTTTCTTTCTCCAGATATTCTATCTCATCCCTAGAAAGTTCGTTTCTGGCTCTAACACTATCTGAATCTTTTGCAAGTAATGCTCCGGCCTTGAATGCGGAAATGTCAACAGAGTCGTTGAGCCCATGTTTTCGAGCGTAAACCTCGGCAAGTCTTTCTAATTCATTCTCATCATATGATGCTAAAGGATCGTTCAAGATTCTATTTGTGGCTGCAAGACGTTCGGCGTCAGTGGGTTGCTCGAGGTGTTGTGAAGAGGAAACCCTGTCTTCGGGCTGCCCCTTTCGATCAGAGCTTGTAGTAGAAACCATAATGAAATGAGGATTTTTGACATACAAAAGTGAAGAGCAGGAGAGAAAGAGCCCTTATTTATGGTAAATACTCAAAGAATATAAGTACTGAGTCGTGCATACTGTGCTCTACTTATTACTAGCTGCACGAGGATGACACCGACATAGGCGATCGAGTAATTTAGACCATGAGTAACTCTCAAGGTGGGATGATTTGAGCTCGGCGATGTTAGTAGCTCGGCGAATTCTTCAAAAGCAAGGAAGCGGATGACTATTTCAGAGAGCATTCGAACAACTGATTCGCCTCGATATCATTCCCACTTGGAAATTACTTAATAGCTAGGCGGAAACATGGAAAACCGATTTGGTTATCCAATATTAATGCCGTGACTTCTTGTTTGCTTGCTTGGTGTGGAGATCATGCTTTATCAACTATGGAGGATCGGTCCATAGAAGATCTACAATCGTAGCTTGATAGCTTCACCTCATAAGTTGCCGGCCGATGATAGTGGTTAAATGGCCAGCACGAATATTGACTACTTCTGTCCCCTTGGCAGGTTGAGCTGGATCATGAATGGGAATACCTAGGGTGTATATAAGACTATGCACATGTTCGTTCTCATTTCGTATACCTTAGCTACTGTTGAGGCTCCGTTGGAAACCCAATTTGGAGAAGATTCTCTTTTCCGGCATGGTTCTTTACACAGGTGGTGTTGGAATGGACCATCTTATGTAAGCAAACAATCAATTCTTGGCCTAGCGTTGTCAACTACTCCGCGTTACATACAAACGTCAACTAGACGGCTCCAGAGTCCAGATAACTTAACAAACGTTCAAGCTATACTAGGTAATTTATAGTAAGTAGGAATGTTCAGCACTAATTTACCCAAGTTTTTATCCCTAACCAACACATTGGTAGTTCGTCGACTATTGCCTTTTTCGATATCGCTATACTGCTTGGCGTGTCGCTCGCGCGTCATTGCTGTTAAGGTTATACTCCGCAGGATTTAGGCTAAGTGCCGTCGTTCTAATGATCACGATGATCAGGATGAATGACAAATTGTCTTCAACGATTGAGATATGCAACAAAGTGTTTTAATTCAAGTACTTGGCTCAATTGATTGGGCATCCGTCGTCTTCTCACATGATCTAAACCCATGGGGTTGAAGCAAATGGACAGAACATCGGCAGCACTTATTAGCCAATGGCCTCTGGAGATTACATTTGCAGGATCTCGAGGTTCACTACAGCTGGAATACTGAAGTCAAATTGAAGCATTAACTTATTTCCAGCAAAGACCCACAAAGTCACCGCACATGGAGACAATCGCCGGTACAAGATAGGATGGAAACCTTCCACTCAAAATTGTCTCGAACAAACTCAACTATTCATCCTCTCGACCGCGGCTGGACACTTTTTATCCATAATTCCTAACATCTCTTTCCAAACTTGCGACTGCATTTCTTGGCCCTCCTCTCCAAAGATGTTATGCTCCGCAGAACTACTGCAAATAAGTTCTTGGCTTGAATATGATTACGGGGTTTGTATAGAACTTACTTCTTATGCTTTTCCCCCGTCTCACAATTTGTGTAATGTGCGCCATGTTCCAATGAAGGAGTGAGCCGCGAGGACGCAGATAAGACCCATCCACAAATTGATCATTACACCCATTGTTACACCGGTACTGTACCCTCGTCCTAGATTAAATTAGCATCGAAAGGTCATCACTCTGAGCTAGTTCAATGGGATAATAACCTGGACAAATTGACTTCACAATGGCCTTGTGCCTTGATTGATATCACTACAGTACATACTATGTGATTGCTGATTCAAGAGTTGGGCATGAGAGGAACATTTCATACTTTCCATCAGCTCTCAGTGCTAACTTGGGGATTTCTTTGACCGCATACTCTATTACTGTTGTAGCAATTTGGCTAGAGTATAACATTCCTATGAAGTCCACCTGAAAGCTCTATGTTAGTCAATCCTCTTCAAAAATCCAAGCGGGTTACTTTGTAGACTTGATCGCCGCGAGCCCATCAAGGTACAAGTGCTTCAGCGTCACTTACTTGTTACTATGCCCAAATAAGCATTTCCTCTTCCAATTTCTTTCATACAAGGCACTAGTAGTGACGCCAAGGAAGAAGTTCCAAGAACGTTCATCATAGTTTCATATCCTTCCTTGCCTAATATGTGTTTAGCGGAAATAGCCCCAGCATTCAAACACACGAAGTCGATCACTTGAATATCCTTTGTTACTTTCCCTGCGAATTCATTCACACTGCACCGTTTCAAAGGTGCTCATGTCTAACCTGAGGTCTCTGGTTAGTGTATGAACCAAGATATAGTTACAGCAACAATATTAAGCCGCCCAATAACCCGCAACAGCCCGTTGTATGTCACCTTTCAACATCCGGAAGGCCGTAGGCATTCGAAAACAATTCAATCCCAGCTGATCTGAACATTTAATGGAATTTCAAAAATCACAAAGCTTCTATCAGTTGTTCTTATGTTAATATTCATATAAATATGACTTATACTTACTCTATGAATCTTACAATATTCTTTCCTATCGTACTCGTCTCATCTTCTATCCTAGCCTTTGCCAGTTCCCCTTTCGCAAGCGATCTTCCGCTTGTGATCACAGATTTTGTACCCAGTTTGACAAAACATTCTGCACTTACATAACCTACTCCCGATGTTGCACCAGTAACAAGAATGGATTTTCCTTCAAAAAAAGTATTGGATGCTGGAAGGGGGAGGAGGTTGAACTTGTTGTTCCAAATAATTGATAGAATAGATGGCATTCTGGCGGATTTTTGAGATAATGGTTGGACAATAGAGGACTTGGATATCAAGAAGCAGTATAGCTTTGATAACATTCTAAATCGACTTTGGGCATGTAAGATGCTCTCGGAGACTTTGGCCTCATAGTATGGGTAATAGAGGAATATCACGCCGACTGTATTTCAAATCCTCACATGCAACTTCGATATAAGCCGAAGTTGGAATATGAAGAGCACCTCTACGAATTTGAAACTATCCCAATAATGACATTTATATGGGTTTCAAAGTAAATGGATAATAAGTGTACAAAAACTCGCATGCTACCATCCCAAAATTATAGCCTCGTTAACAAGCCACGAAATCGACAAGCTACCCTACATCATTGTAGACCTCGTACGAAACCAATTCTTTCAAAGGCGAATTTTGATCATTTCCATAATGTCTTTAACGACTCAATTATTCGTCTTGAATGTGGGATACTATTCAAATAACAAAAGACTGATGATTCTTTTAACCTCCTTGACTTTATTTAATTTATTGGATTTTGATTCAATGTACTCGTAATTCAGATGATTTCAATAGAGATATGAGTGGTCAACGCCACTTTTTTCTCCTGCAAATAGACAGCCTTGCTTGCATGCTAGCCTCGTCTAAAGAATTTCCACTAGGCTGGCTCTCGCAAAGAAATATTGCACAACATCGTGAACAATCCAATCACCTCACAACCTCTTCCCAGATTCCCAATTTGGTCGCTTTTGAAGAGTTCTAGATCCAAAATGCCACCTTCTTCTACACAACCTCTTCTACTCTCGCCCGCCGAACTCTCTTACCTCCACACATCCCTCTCTCTCAACCCTCCAATTCGCCCTGACGCCCGTACCTCTACTCAATTTCGTCCTCTCATCGCGGAATGCGATGTTCTCCCTGGTACAAATGGCAGTGCGCGAATTTGTTTTGCAGATGGTACTGAAGCTATCGTGGGCGTAAAATGTGAAGTCGAAAAGTCGCGACCGACTTATCAAGCTGCGGAACTTGGTCCTTCGGAAAATGATGACGATGAGGAGGAAGATGAAGATATGAGAGAAGTGATAGAGAAAGAGAAGCTTGAGAAAGAACAAAAGGGAGAAAGAGATTGGCTGGAGTTGAGTGTGGAGATTCCGGGGTTTAGGGATGACGATAGTATGCCTGTTTTTATGGCGGCCATGCTGAGTGAGGCGCTACTAGCAGATGCCGAGTTTGTGGGGAGATTATGGATGAATTCAAGGTATCATTGGAAGATATATGTTGATGTGAGTTTTTCTCTATGTATTTGTATTGAAATATCTCTGTTTGTTCAAAATTTAAATCATCGCGACTGACAGCCATACAGATTTTACTACTTTCACAGCCATTATCCTACCCACTACCCCTCCTTTCATTGACCACACATCTCGCGCTTTTATCTACTCGTCTTCCACGTCTCAAGTCTGAAGGTGATGAAGATCCACTCTTTGACGATGACTGGGAAGCTTCCGTCTACTTATATCCTCGAACACCACAATCCACCAACTCCCGACCCCCAATTACACTTCTCGTCATATCCGTTGGCGATAACATAATCTTCGACCCGAGTAAAGAGGAGCTTACAGTTGCCGAAGCTGTATTAGCTGTTACCATAGGTGAAAGAAGACGCAAGGATGGAGACGTAGATATGGATTCTAGCTCTGGAAGAGATCTAAGATTACTGGCTGTGAGGACCGTGGATCTACCAGCTAGGTTAACAGCGCCCGGTTTGCCTAATGCGATGAATACTGCCACTGGAGGTGCGGCAGCTGAGACGACGGATCTAGCGTCGACTCAAAGAGAGACAATGAACGAGGGAGGTGTATGGCAACCACCGAGGGGAGGAATCAAGAGAAAGTTGGTCGCGACGATAATCGCAAAGGTTATGGAGAGAGGGGGTGTAGCAGAGGAGGTATTAGATGGATTGGAGAATGTGGAGTTATCCTAGTGTCGCGACTTTACAAGGAATTTTCTACAATGATACCCTACTTCTCCCAAACTTGTACAATATCTCGTCTCATGTCGGCTTAACACTAGAACAATATTCTAACCCGACTTCCAAAAAAAAAGGTTGGTATCAAAAGATGCGTCTGGCTCCTACCAAATTCCCAACCATTTCTTTCCTGAGAATTGTTTCTCATAAATGACCTTTTTCTCTTCTTCCTTGCCCTTCCCTCCCACAACCCCCTCAGCAGTTTCGGCAATCTCAGCTTCCTTTTCATGTCCCAACTTGATTCCCGGCCCCAAAACTTCTCTATCAGTTTTAGCAGTCCAGCCACCAAAGCCTTCGTCTTTATCTAATCCATGCGCCTTTCTATAAGCAGCCCTCTTTGCAACATCCTCCACCTTATGTTTTCTTCTTTCCATTGTCTCTGCTGTTACATGCGCAGTGTGCAACTGTAAAACTTCATAACATGTTCTTGTAAATGCGATTGGGTGTAGAAATAGTTGTGGCCATTCGGGTAGCATATCTCCGAATGGGGAATCGCGCTTAAAGTTTGTGATCCAGACTCCTCCTGCGAGGGTAGATAGTGTGCCCTGGAATTGAAGGTTAGTTATATGATTTGGAGCAACTGAAAGAGAACGGATTAGGTATTACCAATGCGATCCAGATATGAATGGACTTGTTATTGAGAAACCAATGCATAAATGTCCCTTCTGGTGGCATCATATTTGGATATTTCTTCACACTTTGTCTAGCTATTTCCTCGGCGCTCAATTGGGGACCTGGATATCTGGGAGGATCTTTGCGGAGGCGAGAAGGGTGAGAAGGGGGGTTGAATTTGGTGGGTTTCTCAAGAACGAGGGGTTTGGAAGACTTTTTGGATGCATTATTCTTTGATTTGGTGGAAGCATTGCGAATGGTCGTTTTCGAGGACAGAGACCAGAGAGGAGATCGAAGTGGTAACAGAAACCTGGGTATAGAGACTGTGGACGACATTATGGATGGCAGGCTACGACAAAGCCTCTTTGTTTTGATTGATAGTGTAGAATAGATCAGCAACCTAGTACCTACCTTGGACCCGAGATATCAAAAAATGAAGCTTCTCGCAAATTCATGATTCACTCCCGCAATACGTTCACCAACAAGTCCGCATGACGCAAATTAAAAATTTCATAAATCCTCCGTAAGATCCCGACCTGCGCCACATGACCTGACCATTTCAATTATTCCTATTGGCTGGAGACGTTCGGGAAGTGTGGCTCAAAATGACCTCGTCAATTTCGGGAACAAAATTAAGCTACGTCTTATTCCTGCAGGTAGACTACATATTCAAGCAAGATTATTTTTCCTTTTTCTTTTTTAAAATCCTTATACAAACTATCTTGGAATTCCTACCACTTTTACTCTCACGACCTTACGTTCACGAACCTTCGTTCAAGTCATACATACATAATACTTTCAATTCTTCTTACATACATCCTCTTAATTAGTTAAAATGGGTTTCAAAGCAGGTATGTTCCTTTTCCATTCGGTCGGGTTTCCCACTTTTGAGGAATGAGAATCGTCCACGAAGAATTTTGCCATTGGGAATTGAGAGATGCGAATTGGGTCTTCGACTTGCACAACGGTATAGCTGGTGGCTCGGAAATGCTCTGAGCGTCCTCAATTGAGGGCGTACTTGTATTTTCTATTTGAGGAGAATATTTGTTCGAGCCGCCACTCAACATTTCAACTCCATCCGCCACTCTGCCAGACTCTGGGCGCTACTCATAAGCTTCTGCAAACACTCAAGCAGCTGGCAGCATCTCCCTCCCATATTGTGGCAATAGAACTTTCTCAAATTCCACTCGCTCGCCACTTTGCCCGACAAAGACTTCCGGTGCCAACATGCACAAAGAATGAATACTTACAACTTTCTTCTATAGGAGACGCAAAGAAGGGCGCCAACCTCTTCAAGACCAGATGTGCTCAATGCCACACTCTCGGTGAGGGTGAAGGAAACAAGATCGGTCCTAACCTTCACGGTCTTTTCGGACGTCAAACCGGTTCCGTTGAGGGCTACTCATACACCGATGCCAACAAGCAGAAGGCTATCACCTGGGACGAGAACACACTTGTACGTTTCACTACACCACCGCCACAGAACAATGTATAGAGAGAGCCGCATCTAACATTAAACAGTTCGAATACCTCGAGAACCCAAAGAAATACATTCCAGGAACCAAGATGGCTTTCGGTGGATTGAAGAAGGACAAGGACAGGAACGACTTGATCCAGTACGTTTTACTTCCTATTTCTCCCCAAAACCTAAGAGGTTTCCTACATATTACTGTTACTATGATGATTTTCTTATTCGTTAACCTTCTTATGTCTATCATGACTATGAGGATATAACATTATTATTCCAATTGTTCCTTCTGAAAGTTCAGCTTAAGACATCTATCTGTTTGAGGCATTTGAGTCGCTGTAGCTAACCATCGTCACAGACACTTGAAGGAAGCTACCGCATAAAGGATATCACGACCATTGTATACATAGAATTAGACACGGCGCCTTGTACTTCAAGTTAGACAAATGCTCTCTGGGTAGAAGGAATTTTGGTCACACGTTTTTCGACCTACTAAAACACAAATAACAAATACTCCTCTTCATAATTTTCCCATTTATCGTGTTCGCTTTGATTTGTCATGGGTCTTACCTTACCTAGTGTTTCACAAACTTGACTCTATCTGAATTTTGCAAATCTCTAGTCGTGTGTGGGTCTGACCAACATTTATAATATGCATCTGATCATTCTGATGGTCTATCAACGGTCGGGTCGATCTCCGTGTCAATATTCTACTACGTCAGACAGGCACGGACCATGCATTGCACAGACGATATAAAACAAAAACTTTGCAATTTGCAAATGTATTTAACCCGAGTTCTTTGATTTCGTCTCATCAATCTAATAAGTGAGTCTGGAATTTTCTGAACTCCTACAGCAGTCAATTAACCCGTACCGCAGTCGAGTCGTTCTCAGGCATTGTCGAGATAAGTGTTAAGCACGACCTTCCTTGACCCTACTAAGACTACTAAATTCATTTGTCTCTTCTGACCCGCCATTTCAATTTCAATCTTTAATTGATCAAACTTTATTCTGCTGCGAGATCAATATGAGCCTTCCCCTCTGGTTTTGTGGGTAATGAGACGTCCCCAGTCACAGGGCTGGGTGTGGATTTAGATTGGATATTTGAGTAGATTTTCTCGGCGCCAGCTATACATTGCATGTTGGCGCCAAGTTTGTTCATAGTTTCCATCCATTCATCGTAGGGGTCTGAGTCGAAGACTATGCCACCGCCTATAGTTTGTGTTAATTTGTAGGGAAAGGTAAAGGGTGCAGGAGTTTGTAGACAGTGTGATTTTTGAAAGGGCAAGCTCCGTGCGAAAAGAAAATTAAACATACCAGCTTGCAAGTAAGCAACTCCATCTTTGACCACCATAGTTCTCAAAGCAATACACGTATCCATCTCTCCCTCAAATTCATTTCCTTCCGCATCTACACTTCCATAGCCGAAATATCCGACTGCACCCGCATATACACCTCTCTTCTCTTTTTCCAATTCGGCTATCAATTCCATGGCCTTAACTTTTGGGGCACCAGATACAGTACCTGCGGGGAATATAGAACGGAAAGCATCGAATCGAGTCTTATCTTTCCTTAGCACTCCCGAAACTTGTGAGACCAAATGCTGCACGTGACTGAACTTCTCAACGACCATCAGTCGATCTACGCGAGTAGTTATGGGATCGCATACACGGTTAATATCGTTACGTGCAAGATCAACCAACATGACGTGTTCAGCACGATCTTTGAGAGAGCTGCGGAGTTCTTCGGCAAGGGCTTCATCAATTTGAGGGTCTGCATTTCGTTTGACAGTACCAGCGATGGGGTGGGTGATTACGCGACCCTCTTCGGCTTTGACAAGGAGTTCGGGAGAAGCTCCTACAATTTGGAAGTCACCACAGTTGACGTAGAAAAGGTAAGGCGAAGGGTTGACGGTACGGAGGTGACGATATATATTGAATGGATGGAGAGAAGTTGGTCTTGCAAAACGTTGTGACGGTACTGCTTGAATGATATCACCGGATGTGATGTGAGTCTTGAGAGTATTAACATGCCCCTCGTAGCCTTCCTGTCCAATGTTTGACGCATATTCATTGTCCAGTTTTATAGGTGGCTGGATGGGTAGAGGTGTATCTGGCGATTCAAGAACGGAAACAACTTCATCAATGACTTCCTGTGCTTTCTCGTAATCCGCTGCAACCCGTGTAAAATCTTCCGGGACATGAAGGTATGTGATAACTTTTATAACTCCAAAAAATCGATCAAATGCGACAATAGTATCGAATAGCATAAAAAGTGACTCAGGAACTTGGAGAACATCTTTCATAGGTCGCGCAGTCTTGGGTTCAAAGTATCGAACACAATCGTATCCCACATATCCAATAGCTCCTCCTGTCAAAGGTGGTAATTTTTGTCCCGGTATTTGTGCTACCCTACATTTGGATAACTCTGCCTCGAGCGCAGGCAATGGGTCCACTTGTTCGCCATGTCCTTCACCAGTTTTAAGAATCGTTCGAGGTCCAGCTCCTATAAAACTATATCTGCCAACTTTCTCTGTTGCAGCACTCTCGAATAAGAAAGAATGATCGGACTTCGAATGCGCGGATATCTTGAGGTATGCGGCGGAAGGAGTAATGAGATCGGAGGAGATTTCTTTATAGATGGCAACTAAATTGGGGGCATATGAATTTCCTCGAGTTTTGGAAATCACATCCGATATTTCCGCCAAAGAAGGCGAGATGTCCTAGATACTTTGTGAGCTCTTTTTTTGTCAATTCTGGGAAGAGTCATCTTTTCAACATACCCCCACCACCATTTTGTTTGAGAGGAGTAGATTGAAAGTAAAAAGAATGAATACGGGGGGTATAAAAGCCGATTGTAACTAGAGGAAAGTACAGAAAGAGTGTGAAAGGATTCTTCCAATTGAGTCAATAATAATCCTTTGTGAGTTTGTTACTTTGTAGAATGTAAATTGCCCCGCAATGTATTTTGCTATCTAGTAAAGTAGTATATAAAAGCGGTGACACATGGCAGAACCTTCCACTGAAAATGTCAACAACAGGACATTTCCACCCCACTACGCGCGACATACCGCTACTTATGTACGTTGTATTGAGATCAACCATTGGTTTGTATGAGGATTTGTGCATTTTGAACTGCATTTCATAATGCATCCACGTGAAACCTTTACAACAAAATGAATTCTTGGATGCTGCTTAGGTCATAGCGCCTATATAACTTCCTGCATGTAATACTCCAAAGAAAGATGAATATCTTGGGTCTTCGGCGCCATTTTACTTCCCCTCTCTCGTTCACGGATGTTGATGCTTCAGCAACTGCCCCATCAAATTCTTCGAATCAGGACTCTCAGGACAACAAGGATGTCTTACTACAAAGACTCAATGACCTCGTAGTCAGGTTGTCACATGATGACGCCGAAGACGATGCCATCACTGCGTTGCACAAGAAGACGGATGAGATGGAGACACTATTGAGAGTGGAATACTCTATGAATTTGGACCCGAAAGTATCTCATAATAAAGTTAAACCACCGCCGCCGCGAAGGGACTCCAACGATATGTTCTGGGGACGACCACTGAACACTAGAAGAGAGAGCTACTTACGAAGATCTAATTCTCCACCGCCAATATCTCGTGGCTCTTCATACAATAGGAGTGCAGTGGCAGTCGCGAAAGCTGCTGAGATAGCAACATCAGCTGAAGCGCTGAATGTACGACTTGCAAAAGCAGTTGGCGAACTCCAAGCTCACAGAATAGAAAGTGATGTAAGTTTATATACATCAGACAACTTTCAATCTGAAGATCCGATTGCTCATGCATCATATGTAGAAGATTCTGGCCTGGCACGTCTCCAAGTTGGACGAATGCACAGAAGAAATCACTAATTTAGAGCAACATATTTCGCATCTGTAGGTGCTAATTCTCATTCTCGTTCCCCCTTTTCCTCTCACTTTTCTGGCCTTTTATTTTCTTGAGACTAAGCAATACATCAATCAAATCAGCCAGGAAGAGCTTGGGACCAGTCAAACACTACTTAACCGCACCCAAATCGAAATGCGAACTATGGCAGCAAAGCACGCGAGGGCTCTGGACGATATAAGTTGGAGGGAAGATTGGGATGAACTTAACCAGGATGTGGACATGAGAGGTAACAGTAGTATAGGAGTGTGGGATAACTCTACCGAGTATTTGGGCGAATAAATATCAACTAGGTTAATATTTTCAAGCCGAATATCTTATTGAGAATAAGTTACAGTTTTGGCTCTGCGTTTATACAGAAGTTTGCATAGAAATTAGGAGTTGGGGAAATACCAGTCTTGCATCACAATCATCAAATTGGGGAGTTGGATCAATGTTGAAATATCTTCAACTTTGACCATTCAATACCTTGACCAAGCGGTCACTGGCTTCAGAAATAGTTATGCTTGCAAGCCATACGTGAAGTTTTAGTGCGATCAACCATACAAAATCTCAAGGATAGCAATGCCTCCTTGTCAAAATTTAGTCTTCCATGTATTGATAAAGGCGAGACAGATGGTGCTTTGGGAGTGGGCTTCTGTGATGTTGCTAATTCCATTTTTCTGTCGCACACTAATATTACTGTCCAACATAATACATCCACTCTTTCGCCATCCAATTTAATACTCATCGTTGAGATAACAAGACACGGTAGTATTCCATTCCGGATACTCTTAGTCTCAAAAACCAACCACTCGCTAACAAAACGCGACAAAGCTATCACATAAGTCCACAAAGTCATGATACAAATCTTCTTATTCTCAACATTGTACGCAGTATATGTGCGAAGGACGAAACATACCAAGATCCAGGTATCGAACAGCTGAATGCTCAGATCGGTACTTTGAGATTACGGAATTGTACCAGGATAAGTTCGACGCATTTTCGATGGAGAGGTGTAGCATCCTATAGTATTGAAAAGGGCCGCTACTGAGGTCTAAGATTGGATAAACTTTTTACTTTCTATCTGAGCAACAGGTAACTCGACAATAATACATTGTGGTAAAGCGCCATTGTGTTTGGAGGGGAGGGAAGACATGATCTTTTGATGTAATGGAAATTAATATCTTACTTCGGGACGTCTGAATCGACGAGAGTTTGTTTGATGTCGGGCAGCAATTGGGAGCAAACTACATAAGGAAACACTCTCAGAAGTTCTGCGATGTGGAATGGAAATTTTTGCAATCAAGATGATTAGTACCTTCAAGAACTTTTCCAATCATCGCGTTTTGTCAGCTCCAAAATCTGTGATACGTCAGGTCATCCAACTCGAAGAAACAATGTGTGCAGTTGATACCGAAGATTGTGGGATTTTCTATGGCTATTGTTGCTGAGTGGGTGGTCTGGATCATGTCTTTGGGATGGAAAAGATCGAGGGTTAATTGGGCGGGTATTGCGTATAGGTAGCTGTATGACGGGGAAAGATCGGGTTGAGAAAGCGGAACAGGTTCTGGATTATAAACCTCGAGTAGATTTGAAGGAAGGGATTAGGCGTCGCGGAGGGCCCTTCGAGGTTAAAATTCAGAAGACGGATCAAGTTGCTGGGTAGTTTTGAGTTTGTTTGCTTTTGGGTTTATTAATCTACTATGCAGTTGTTTCGGTGGTCAGGACGGAAAATCTATGACGCTATTGCCAATTCCTGATGATCAGAGTGAATGAAATGGGAACAGAATGTCAATCAATAGCTTCATATGTATTACTACGGTCGCATTATGCTCTTCGACAACCTTGTGAGAACTCTCTCATGCTCTACGTCGAAATGAAATATCTATTCGTAAGAGCTATTTGGTAAACATGTCCGGGAGCCTTATGTTCAATCCTACAGGAAGACAAAAGACAGGCACTTCGCAGTGGCAGCATGCTGGAAGGAACGAAGCAAAAGATTTTACCACCCAAACACACGCAATTCTTGGCCTCCTGTCTATGCTTAGATTTATGTTTTCCAACTGAACCTTACGACTCGATTTCTAGAGACCATCTTCCTTCACCCAAGAGTATAGCTGCACTTTTCCGCTGGTGATTGCGGTCCCTCGGGGGAACCAAAAAGACAAAAACATACAACAGTGGGGATTCGCTGGTGGTCACCCACCCAACTACTAATCCACCGATCTGAGGCTTGTGTATGGCAGAGCGGACGGGATGCCCAATTCTCTTCAGTCTATGGTCGTATGTGCTAGAAACCATGTACTATGAAAATATATTGAAACTCAAACATATATCGCTTCTCGCTTGATTAAGCTTGGCGCCAAATGCCTCCTGCCTAGAGCTTCCCTCAACTTTCACTTTCATCTTTGACTCAATTTTTCCAAACTTCAAAAATCTTGACATTTGAAATTCTGCATCTGTATACTCAAATCTCATCTCGAGGTGTTCACCCCTTCAACATTTTCTTGATAACGCAAAATTCTATTCCCGTATTTCCGGACTTGATTTCGTTCGTTGTTAATCCTCACTTGTTTCCAAGTTGAAGACACGGGTAGTTATCATCTCCTCCGCTGTGGATCTTTGTATTGATTCATGAGTTTACGTTCTGTGAAGCAGTGAGTGTTGCTCTTCCCGAACAAAAATCTTGATATGATAACGAAGACTTTGGAGCAATTTGAAAGGTAATTACTGAATTATTATATCCAGCTTCACTTTCAACTTCACTTGAAATTTTTCATCGGATCTTATCATTCGGGTCTTCCTTCAAATATCTCAAGCCTCAGCGTCGATTGTAATAAACCGTCGATATGGCCGTCGCAGCTTCACTTTGCGGTGACGCGAATGAGCAGGAGGTAGGTCGTTTTTAGTCTCATGCGAGAAGTAATTCACTGACACATATCTTCAGAGTAGTATCATCGATATCGATGAGATTCAGGCCCATGGTAATCCGCAAAGTGCTCTTGATCTCTTGTAACTTTGAGTTCTAATTGAAGCAGGTATCTCTGCCGCGGATATCGCAAAATTGAGATCCAACCTCATCCATACCGTTGGAGTAAGAACATTCTTGCGTTCAGTCATGAAAGGCTAAATCAAGAAGTGAAGCTGACCTTGCATCAGACTCTTATCAATACGCCCATCCGAAAATTGGTCAAAATCAAAGGTTTCTCTGACATTAAGGCTGAGAAAGTAAAAGAAGCTGCAAAGAAAGTAGCCGTAAGTACCAAGGTCCCTATAACTTTGTCCCAAATGCTAACAGAAGACAGGGCCCCAACACTGGTGGTCAATTCGTCACTGCCGCTGAGCATGGCCACTTTCGAAAGAAGTGTATCAGAATTTCTACTGGTAGCAAGCAGTTGGATGCTTGTTTGAACGGGTGGGTAAATCTTACTGGTTCGACCTGAACCGGAAGGTTAACATTTTACAGTGGCTTCCAAACTATGAGTATCAGCGAGGTATACGGAGAGTTCAGTAAGTTTGCTGAGACCCTTTAGGATGTTTCTCTCCTTAACAATTTGCAGGATGTGGCAAGACTCAATTAGCACATACAATGGCAGTCATTGCCCAGCTTCCTAAGGAGATGGGCGGAGCTGAGGGCAAGGTGGCCTATATTGGTAGGAAAACAATAGCTTGCGAAGTTAAGATTTATGGTGAACGTCTGCTAAGACCTAACTGAACAGATACTGAAGGCACATTCCGCCCAGAAAGAATTTCGGAAATTGCAGAGCGATTCGGTGTCGACCCTGATCAAGCTCTCGAAAACATCGTTTATGCTCGTGCACATAACACTGAGGTATACCTCGTAGTTCTTTCAATTCATATCATACTCGTCGCTGACCATAATCAGATGCAGCAGGAATTGCTCGAGGGGCTTGCCCAAAACTTCGCAACTGATGAATATCGTCTTCTCATCATTGATAGCATTATGGCTCTCTATCGTAGTGACTTTATCGGACGTGGTGAGCTTTCCGAACGACAAGGTGCTCTCAACGCATTTCTACGTAAGGCAACACAAATGGCGGAAGAATTCAATCTGGTTGTCTTCATGGTATAGATGTTTTTCTTTTCCATGACAAAGATCTAACTGACACTTTACAGACCAACCAAGTCATGTCGGATCCAGGTGCCAGTGCCCTTTTTGCAGGAGCTGATGGGCGTAAGCCTGCTGGAGGACACATACTTGCACATGCATCGACAACCAGAATCCTCTTGAGAAAAGGTCGTGGAGAGGAACGTGTTGCGAAAGTTGTAGACTCTCCAGGTAAGTTATCCCTGATTTATCCTAGTCACTTGTACTAACATCAGAAATTAGATTGCCCGGAACGTGAAGCAACATATATCATTACAACTGGCGGTATCAACGATCCTGAAAAGGCCTAATGATATACATCTGCCTCTGAACTTCTATACCTACCAAGTCTTCATACATGTTACATACTTACAACCTTGTATTATTTAATAACATATTGCTTTGGGTGGGCGTTAATAATATGGAAAGATCAAATGGATAAATTCTGGCATCTTTCAATGTATTTTCTAGTTGCATATTAAGAGAAAGGAGGAGTGCTGGCGTTGCTTTATTAGTTGATGGCTCGAGGATGGTCAGCGATCGAGTGTTTGTGGTACCCTTAGCTTCGGGCTTAGCTTAGCGTCCTCCGATAAGACCCAAACCCCTGCCAAATATTTTTGCTTCAAAAAAAGTTCCATAATGACAACTTCGATTGAATTTCACGGGCAAAATTTGGAATTCTCATAACGAATATACAGATTGTCTAGAGATACTACCACACATATACGTATTATCTAAAGATACACCACAACATGTCAAAAGCACCTATAACCATAGGTGACAACTATACCATCCTTCCTATCGCAATTCCTTCTACACCCGCATACCCAGTTGCGACGACCCATCATATATATTTGCGACAGCATGCTCCAAAGATTCCGTCCGAGAATGATTCGCGGAGTCTCTTCGCAACAAACCTACCCATAGATTCCACAGATATCCATATTCGAAGCATATTCGCAGCATTGATAGGTGTTGGCCGAGTTGAAGATGTACGATTCGATGGGGAAAAGGAAGAGGTTGTCGCGCAACAACAAATTGAGACTACCTCGCAGAGCAAGAAAAGGAAGAGAGGAAGCGAAGTCGAAATTGATACGAGTTTACCACAAGGATGGGATAGGCAAATGCGCATCAAGGGAAGGACAGCTGTGGTATTATTGGTTGATGAGAAAAGCGTAGAATCCGTTCTAAAAGCTGCACGAAAAACCTGCAAATCAGGAAAGGAATCAAAATATCCTGTTTGGGGCGCAGGTGCTGAAGGCAAAGTGCCCGCTTTGGGTAGCGCACGTTATGCAATGAGGCAGGAGTTACGATTCCCTGACAAATTAGCAGTACAGAGGAGTGTAGACGCTTTCATGACAAAATTTAATAGCAAGGAAGAGGAGAGAGAGAGGGAAAGAAAGAGATTAAGGAATGTACCAGATGAGGATGGATTCGTAACAGTAGTGAGGGGTGGAAGGACAGGCCCAGCGAGAAATGAGGCGGCGGAAGAAAAGAGAAGAGAGATGGCCGAGAAGGAGGAGAAGAGGAGAAAGGAGTTGGAGGACGCAGGATTTTACAGGTGGCAGGGACGAGAGAAGAGAAAGAAGGAGGTTGGAGAGCTGGTCAAGAGGTTTGAGGAGGATAGAAAGAGGGTGGAAGGTATGAGGGAGAAGAGAGGAAGATTCAGACCTGAGAGATGATCAAGCTCGAGAAGCTTGACAATGCTACCTTAGACTGGAGATTGGGTGGTCTCCGCTAACAAAGGTATGTGCGACAAATGATTTGTTTGTTGATTCGTCCCCTGTTTCGTGATGACACCGCGGGGCCATAAAAGCCTATTCTTCCAACGGGCCAATTCCTGATGGATTTGAACATGCAATGACTACAAAAACCGCATACAAAAATCTTCTCAACATTGTCTGAAAATTCGCATAATCCAACCTTTCATCTGCCACTATGCTCGAATTATTCAGTTTACTAATTCGTGGCGCGAACAGACTCATTCTCAGGCACGCCTCAATCATTGAGTAGGCTTATCCCTTTGATCTCATCTGGATCACCTCACCTGCATGCCTCAGACAAGCATGTAGGGAATTTACACTAGCAAACAGTCCTAGCTTAAAACCATGGGTTCAGTCATGAAATCTATAAATAATATCGAAGTTCAACATCAAACTAAAGGATTGTTCTCCTGTTCTTTCACACACAAAGAAATATTTCTATTTGTTGTGTTGAAGTTGTTGAGTGAAAGAGCTTTCGCTGGAAGTCTAGCCTCCTATACAATAAGAGTTGGTTTTACTTGAGACCATTCTTCTTTTATTTTGACCGTTGTTCTTGGGCATCCGCCAGGTGATTTATTGATCTAGTTGTCAATTGGAGACATTGGATCATATTCAAGTCTTGACATGACTTGATAGCTACTCATTTCACTTTGCCCATTGTATGTTGATACACGCGCGGTTGTATAGTCATTGAACAAATAGAGACACAGAGTCGATTCAAGTACTGGACAATGCAACAAATTTTTCAGAGGATATCATACACATATGATCTGTACCATTATGTCGTTCCCCTGTTATCCCCTGCCAATTGTATCTTCCAATCACACTTCCAACTCATTAAGCATGTGCCAAAGTACCAGCGTAGTCTTCTCCTGCAATCACTGGGGCCCACGCATGATTTCTCGGCCCTGCCCGTGGGCAACCAGTGAAAATATGAAAGCCGGCTGCTTCATCACCTTGGAGCCAGAAGGAGTAGAGCACCTCGATCGCATGTGTGACTCTTGCAGAATCAAAGAAGATCTTGGGAGTACATCTACACTGACATTTGTGGGGATAGATGGAATCCGACGACCACTCACGAGAGAAGCTACAGCAGCGAGTAAGTTACAAGGAGCATTGAACAAGGACGTCCCAGACACCGAAGCTGACGAATCAAACCAGGCAGTCGACGATCTTGACGAGGAGCAAAGGGTGGCTGCACGAATCAGTCTAGAGAGGAAAAGGAGACTTTCTCAGGCTAACAGACTGGAAGAGATGAGATATAGAGAACGAGCGTTAGATCAACTCCATGAGCAGCTCATGCAGAAGGAGAGAGAAAGACACGAAGAAAGGAAGAGGAAGCTAAAAGCGCGATACGAAGGATTAGATGATGAGGATGGGCACTGCAGCCAACACGCATCTATGAGGATGAATGATTAAAGGCGGAGGAAACGTCATGCGGCTGGACCGCGCCGGATCTTGTTTCTCCTCTTCCTCACTTCTCCCTCTTTCGAGTTGATTTCTGGTCCATCTGGCCCAGGTAAGTGCTCTTGTTTTTGACTTGAATGTCCTGCGATATCACTTCACTGCTTTCGTTCCCAACCTTCGTTTTTGCAAATTTCCTAGTCAATCCAACGAGGGAAATGTACCATACGATTTAACGACCTACGACCCAAGGAGATTAGTCTTGAATGGTACTGGAAACTAAACACTTAATTAATATTTTCGCACAAATTTATACGAAGCCTTGATTTCTGCAATTTTACCAATGATCATGAACATACAATTACCCCGTGAATGGAAGATAAACGAACCTTTGAAAGAACAAAACAAATGTATGGCCCTTATACCCCGTTTAGAACAAAGGAATGAAGATTACAATGTCATTGAAGAATCTTCATTTCCTTTGTTCAAAATACAACCGTTCATACAAACTATCCTCACATAGAAAATACATACAACAAATTGGTCGAAATATACTAGATACCCCATTCCCTTCTACATCTACAGACCATCAGACCACAATCATTAGTCAAAATGAAACTCGAATGCCAACACATGAATCCCATCTCATCCCCAGAATCTAGATCAATCTTCCTCGTAACCACAAACAGCCCCATCGTTTCGTCGACAAAAATGCCCAATGTGAAAGAAGAAGAGTATGCCGGCGTCTCGTAGCATACTAGCAAGGTGCCTGCTTTACCCCAGGTCTTCCAATGACTCCATCGAGGAATTCTCGCCCCAGTTCTATCGGTGGCCGGCAGGGTTTTTGTTTTTATTTCTACATATCTTGCTTGATGAACTGGTTCTCATATCTCTGTGCTCTTTAATGTGACTGGATTCGATCTCTGAAACTTTTGTAATGGGGAAGAGTTCTTTCGATTCATCCCTTCGCTTATAAGCTCTAAATGGCATAAATGGGATGGTTTTGATTCGTCTTATGATTCACTTTTCGACTTCACATTCAAAACCTTTCGATTTATCCTGCTGGATGGCGAATGTTTACCGATATCGGCACTAAATGGATTTACTTCGGCCACAAATATGATTATATTCACCGTGTCAGATACCCAACTGCGAAACCTTTCCTGGTATAAATACTGGTGACGACCGCATTCTAGCACAGCTCTCTTAGCAACATCCTGACCCTGACCCTCACACGAAGAAACAAAATTGCCTCTCAGAAGGCCGGAAGATCTCACCTCGAAACCAAACTTACCTAGTCTTACTCTTTCTACCGCTCACATTCCCCAGCATCAAAATGACCTCATCCCCGAAAATCATCTTCGTCCTCGGACCCCCTGGTGTCGGTAAGGGAACCCAATGTATGCTCCTCACCCAATTATCGAGTCCTCATCGCCACATCCATCACATCAGCATCGGCGATATCCTACGCTCAGAGCTGCAAAAACCATCTAGTAAATGGGCATCCATCATCCGAGCTAACATGGCCGAAGGTCGGACAGGTCCACCCGAGATGTCTGTATCCATGTTACAGGAAGCGATTGCACGAAGAAGCGAGGACATCGAGCCGGGAAAAGAAATGGTATTTTTGGTCGATGGTGAGTCATTTTTATCAAGTACTGAGTGTGGATTTTCAAGTACTAATAAGAACATAGGATTCCCTCGCAGTCTCAACCCCATCGCTCTCTTCGAATCTACAATCTGTGCGCCATCTCTCGTGCTCTCTTTAAATTGTCCGCTGGAGATCCTGCAAGAGAGACTTTTGTCTCGAGCTAAATCTTCGAGCCGGATTGATGATGGGGTTGAAATTATGCATAAGCGATTTGGTCAGCATGTTTCTGCTACTGGGCCTGTCATTGAGCATTACAGGGAGCGAGGATTGCTCGCTGAGATTGATGCAAGTAGGAATGTGGAGGAGGTACATGGGGATATTTGGGAGGCGGTGAAGAAGACCTTGGGAGAATGTTAAGGATGTGATAGAGGGGCTGTGTGATTTTGCGAGACTTTGATGGGTGATGAGGGAATGCGAGATAGAGCCGTATAGCGATGATGCAACTTTCGTAGTATAGAATGACATCTTCGTACGCGCCGTAGTATGAATGACGATGGAAATAGAATGTCTACGTAGATGGAAATCGTCACTTGCAATGAATACGTTCATTTTACCATGTAAGATCTTACCATGGCTACGACATTGTCGGAAGTGTGAAGTGTATCCTTGTTTTCCTAGATCCTTCTATCCTTTCGGAATGCTTTGATCAATGAACTGCAAATTGCCAACTTGGGACAAAGTGACCGTACCGTCGTATTCACCTGCATAAAGCTAATAATGACAACAAAAGCTCCCATTACCAACACCCGATTGTCTGGGTAGAGACTTCAAGTCATTCAGAGAAGCCTCATTGTGAGGCCAATTCCTCTCTCCTCTAGAGCTGTCTATCCATACAAACAGTAAATGAAGGCAAAAAACAATTTATTACGTCATGTCAATATATATACGCCTCACTCGCCGTTCCTTGAAACATGTAATGGAAGGGTTTCAACCCTTGAACCAAATTCATCTGAAGATACTTGAAAATGGAGTATGGCCACGTGTCTAGCGTCAAATTAGGCAATCGCGCTCGAGTGAAAACAGGCCACTGATTAGAATTTCGTTCTGATTCACCATCGTCGTTGGGTACGCTCGCTTATGGACATATATAAACATAGCCATCCTCCCAATTACCGCATGATCTTGAATCCTCTTATAAATGACTACGACCACTCAAACAATCTTCCAATGTCTGCTTGCGCAAGATTATCATTTTACACTTGTACACACAATTATCCAACAAACAAACAAAAACAAAAAATAAGACCGAACAAAACTACCGCATTAGTCCTCAAGATGGAAATGGACCTGGAGATTTCGCCCCACGCCGGACAATCAGAGGCTCATACTCAAGTTCATACCTCGCCTCAGTTTCAAAACCCCATGCAATATCTTCATGGCGCGTGCAGTCACTGCTATCGCGATGACGGAATGGATATTCGAGACAAACAATTAGTTCCGTGCTATCAAGATGGAGAACTTGATCCATTCACTCTTTTCTTGCTGACTCCTAGATGGTGTGTAGATTGTTTGGCTCAGCGAGAACTGGCGATTCGGGCTTCATATTGTGATCGCTTGATCGAGATGGAATCGGTGGAGTTTCCGATTGGTACCGTGGAGGAGGCTTATATTCGCGGTGTAAGTTTGTGGTTGTGAATCCCCATCCCGTACTCACACTAGTCATGGGTGTGGATGAAGGATGAATTTGTTGATTAGTCACTAACATCTATTAGGTCCACGATGGCCGAATTAGTGCCTTATCTCAACCATTCGAAGATTGTGGAGTATACTCGGCTGGAGACAACAGTATTGTCGTCGATGATTTCAACGAAGTGTTGGACACATTGACCAATATGAGACTCGGAACTGATACAGCCAACGAAGATAAAAAGATTGAAGAAATCGTCCGAGATTTCAACGATCAGATGATGCTAGAGGAGGACGAACTTAAGTACGAAGTTTATTGGCACTTAGCATACATGGAAGGAACGAAAGATGGTTGTTATATGCAAGCACAGATGGAGTACAAGGCACTAACGATGGATGATCCGGAACGGAGTGAGATGTTGAGGAGAGCTGTGCTTTGATGATTGACCTAGTAGTTAGTGGAGAGTTGGGAGCGTTTCCGCACCAGTGTTTTTATAGCGGGGTATAAGGAATGGTCTTTTGAGTTGGGTCTGATCCTGGAGTTATAAGGGACCTGAGCATCTTTGGATCTGGGGAAATGCCTCGTGCACCGACCTTATCGATTGCGATTGATATAGTCATGGGCGATGTCCGTGAAATGAACAGATGGACAAGAATACCAAGGACAATAAGAATAAACTTAATGTATTAGGTGATGTTGCGCAAGCTGGATTTCTATTCATTTCAAAGTTGTATCTAAAAATGGAACGGGTTTTTATTTGGCTTCTTCTAAAACCTCGCGAATCTATCAATATCAACTCAAGCGAGTACCGTTCAAAGTGTTGAATGATTGAAATCGAATCTAGACGCTGTAGCCGTGATCGGCGAGTTCATAAAGGAGTGAAAACCGGGTATCTATCTGCCTTGCGGGTGAGATTTGTGTAACTCGATAATTCATCAGCAAGCCGTAGAATTGCCAGGTAATGAGTGTAGGGTGTAGGGTAGGAAAGGCAGGAATGGGTATGCATGTGTAATCGATGAGTTACTGTGCCCCGAGATTAGCCTGACGCCCATTGCAGACACGGGATATGTACTCCCATAAGATATAAGACCGAGACGAGTACTGTGAATAAGATGAAGGTAGGTAGACATGCAAGTATGTGATATACTTGTTTGCAGGTACGAATATATTAACAGGCACGAACCAAGATTTATTATGGAAATTATCATTGGACGGTATTGACTTTGCGCTGAATTTGTGATGTGCTTTAGGACCCTGTGTATGTGATGGGAATTTTGGTACATCTAAAGTATTATATGTAGCTGAATGAAGGCTGTCGCCCGAAAGCCTTCTAGAAGATGGCCACGATGACTCCATTTGTGATCGGGTTACTGTCATCGATGCAAGCATACGGCGCAAGGATATAAATGGAAGTCCATGTACAGAGTAGGTTGGAGGTACATCGTTCTTAGTCTAGTTCAAAATCCATTTTTCTTTTCTTTCCTTTTTGCGCCTTATTAGTGCTTTTTATGCTGGCATGTCGCTAAGAGATTCTTTCCCTGCTAGATTGCCATGGTCCACCATACAAATTGCTTCTTGCGGCTGCTGACTTGCATACATCCAAAAAAGCAAAGTGAGAAAACTTTCCGCGAAGAACGTTAAAGGAAGGGTTAGCAAGTGGTCCGATAGTGAGGGGAATAAAAAAGAAACATGAGCTACTAAAGGTCTTAGTTAAGAAATGTTTCATTATTGAAATTG